AGACAGAGAGAGAGAGAGAGAGAGAGAGAGAGAGAGAGAGAGAGAGAGAGAGACAGTTTATGAAAACCCTAAATTCAAAATTAGAATATTGTGAAAAGGTTTTCATAATCTGCAAGCCATAATCATCAAAATTATAACAAATAAAGGCTTGAAATATCTCACTTTGCATGTAATGACATGCAATGTCATATAATATGTCTATATAATATATTATGTTATGCAATGTCTAATATACCGTAATATATTGGCTTCACCTTTTAAGTTGAATTACTGAAATAAATTAAACTTTTGCACCATACTCTAATTTTTCAAGTTTCACCTGTATGTATGCATGCATGTATGAACCGTTTCTGTATGCTGGAATATTTTAACAGAAACTTAAATTTCCAAAATAAAAGTTTGTGTTTACATAATATATATGCGTGTACTGTATAATTATTTAGTACACTGTAAAAAAAATGTATTTTCAAGATTTGTTGTCACAACATTTTTTCTTTTATCAAACCAACTTAAATAATTTATTGAGTCGAGATAACATATTTTGAGTGTTTGATGATTAAATTAATCTCCTTCATTGTATTAACTCAATTTTTCGAGTTCAATCAACTTAAAATTTTAAGTTTTTAAGTAAGCCAACAATATTTTTTTACAGTGATATACTGTATAAAATCCACACACATGCATGTACTGTATATTTAAGAAAAATTGACTGATTCAAATATTGTGCGACAAACTTTAATTTTAGATGCGATTAATCATTGCCTAGCCACTAGTTGCCTAGCGATATATATATATATATATATAACAATCATATTTTGCAATAAGAAACTCTTACAGGTTTAGAACGGCATGATGAGGATGAATAAGCGATGACAGAACTATTCCTATAACCCTTTCCTGATTTCCACATACGAAGCGGCATTAAGCTGACGTAACGGTGTGACGGTCTGGCGTTCTCGACCTGCGAGGTCATTTGTCACGGTTCGCATCAGCGTGACTGAACATCAGCCGAGGAGACGGGCCGCATATGGCAACTGTAGAGGCACACATATCATTTCAGTTTGAGTTCACGTCATATTTTGACAGTAAAGTCAAACTCGGAGTGGCCGGATGTCATCACTGTCACGGATTAACGTGAGATTGAGCAGGTGAACGGGCCGTCGCGCTTTACTGAGCAGATGTGTGTGTTCAGGAGCGAGAGAGAGAGAGAGAGAGAGAGAGAAATACTCTCTCCCAGTATTCCCGAATCCTCCTGGGAACAAACGTCGGGTCGGTGACAGTCGTTCCACAAGACCTGAAAGGCCCGTCAATCTTCCAGCCAATCACGGCTCACGGTTTATAAGCTCGGGCCGCTGGTCAGAGAGCTGTCAATCACTCAGATCCACGTCTGTCAAATCACCCCGAGAGAGGAAAAAATGAGCTTGTATCTTACACTCGTGTCCTTTTGCAGGTCATTTCGTTTTCTTTCTCTATTTTTGACCATTTGAAAACTGGCTGCTGCCCCTTTAAGAATCGTCTTCAATTCAATTCCGCAATTGACCCCTTCGCATGGAGTTTGATTGACAGGTAATCTGACCAATCATAATCCGCCATTCCTGTCCGACAGAGCCGTCAGGAGAGTTTGTAGATGAACGTTGGATTTGAACTTGAGAAGCGGAGTGTCCTGACGTCTCTCCTCGGCTAAAACAACATTCCTTCTGATGTTCATTCATGTTTATCTGATGATATAATGTCAGACACATTAAAAAGCCACAAAACGAACAAATTTGAAAGGCGAGAGTTTGTTTCATATCAAAAGTAAGCTGGTCTGTGTCCTCTCTGCTCCGCGATGCGTGTTTCACTGTGAGAACATGGTGTGTGTGAGAGGGGGCGTGGCTTGTAGGACATAGCAACAGTGACTAAAGGGGGCGAACGGTCAATTACGCTGCTCACTTGTAACCTAGAGCTCTTAAAGCTACACTGTGTAACACTTTTAGTTTATTCTTAGCTAAAAACACTTAGTTCTTTCAAAAATATATGTGCTCATTAATGTATATTTACTTCGTATTCTCATGAGTGTATAATATGCCATTGAAAATACATACGGGTAAGGGGTTCTAATGTCAGTCGCCATTGAAAGTACATTAGCCAAAGAGGGACATACCCATTAATTCAAGCTTTTTCGTGTTTACGTTTGGGTTAACATTCATGGACGAGGTCGAACTGGAAGCCATGTTAATCTTGGACTACATTGGCCACCGTAGGAGTTAAAACGAAATCGGAATTGAGAGGAACAGAAACTAATATTGACTGGATGGTCATATACCTTTTCACCACTAGATGGGGGTAAAAACCACACAGTGCAGCTTTAAAGTCAGAAAGAAAGGGAAGTTGCGCTAGTGTTTTCTTCCCTATTGTGTCGTATATCCGGGTGAAACGCTTCTGGAACAAGAAGAGATGTGGGCGGGGCTTGATTGTGTCCATAGGGAATTGATTGGATGGTTGTGGTTTGCTATTGGCTGATCTCACGTGAGTGACAGGTTAAAGCCCCGCCCACATCATCAGAGAAGAGATGCTGCAAGAGGAATTTATTCTGATTCAAGATTATTAACAAAATAATAAATCATTTCTAATAAACACTGCAATATTTAATAAAAAATAAAATATTGTTAAAAATAAAAATAAAAGCTGATTGTGAAACAGGGGAAGTTTCTCTGATTCAAGATTACCAGGAAGATTAATTTAATAAAACAATTATGGTTAGGCTAACCCTATCATTCATGTGTATATTTGGGTGTGTGTTCGTGTCCCTGATAAGAGTGTGACGCGCCGCAGGGTCTCAGCTGCGATCAGTGTGTTTGTTTGGAGTTATTTAGACGCCAGACGCCCTTCACAAACACACACACACACACACCGTCCGTCACAGCAGATCCTACAGCGTTTATTACACACACCTCAGCCGACGTGATCTGGAGCGCAGGTTGTGTAGACGAAGTTAAAAACAAACACAAATAACATGCTTGCAGTGTTAGAAACATATGAGCCTGAAACACACAACGCAAGTCAACAAGTCAAACACCAAACAAATCTGTATTCACTCTCAGAGATGTTCCTAATGCGAGCGAATCATTAATTCAAGCTCTTAAAAGGCTTTTTAGAGTGACGAACAACAACATAAATGCATAAATTATGCACATTAATATATAATACACGATATTAAAATAGGCTAGATGAACACAACAGTTCAAGAAGATTTAAGACTTTTATTCTGCATTAAACTGATCAAGAAGCGTGTTTCAAAAGATTATATTTCAGATAAATGCTGTTCTTTTGAACTTTCTATTCAAAGAATCCTGAAAAATTCATGGTTTCCTCAAAAATATGAAGCATAACATTGATAATAATCATAAATGTTTCTTGATCATCAGATCCTCATATTCGAGTGATTTCTGGAGGATCATGTGACTCTGAAGACTGGAGTAATGATGATAAATTCAGCTTTGATCACAGGAATAAATTACACTTATATTCAATTAAATTACTCAAATAGGAAACAGCTGTTTTAAATTGTAACAATGTTTCACATCTTTGATCAAATTAGCATAAGAAAAAAAAAGTACAAAATCTTACTGACCCTAATATCTATAATGGTAATAGATATAAATATATAAACTCAGATAAATTAAACCACTTTGTATGGAAGCTGGTGAAAATAAAACAAGGTAATCGCTTTTTTCGCACGTTTCTGACTTTTTTTCTCAGAATTGCATGTTTATATTTCACAATTCTGACTTTATAACACGCAACTGGGAAATATAAAGTCAGCTTTTTGAATTGCATGATACGAATGTTATAAAGTCAGAACTGCGAGACGTAAACCAGCATTTGTGAGCTAAAAAGTCGCTATTATCTTTTAAAATGTTTTATTCTGTGGCGAAAACAAGCTTCCATAACTTTTTGCTATTCATCTTATAATTGCAAAATGAAAAACATCAGCTAATTCACTGGTAGAGCAATCAAAAAGACAATATTTGTCCCACTGTTGATGCAAATCATCCACAATAAAATACAAATAGTGTTTTCCAGGCAGTCTTTATGAGACTTTGACTATTGTTTAATGCTTTCACACGGTGCGGAGGCCGTCTGCCACAAATTCCCTTCAAATGCATGATGCTTATTTAATTTCATAGTCAAAAAACACTGCATCCTTATTCCTACTTTTATATCTTTATTTATTGTATTATATTAAATTATATACTTTTTTACTTTCTATCTCTACACTCTAAAAAATGCTGGGTTGTTTTAACCCAACTTTGGGTCAAATATGGACTAACCCAGCCGTTGGGTTAAATTTTTACATTACATTTTTAACCCAACATTTCGGGTTTGTCCATATTTGACCCAAAATTGGGTTAAAACAACCCAGCATTTTTTAGAGTGTATACATTAACATTCTGTAACTCAATTTTATCAAAAAAAAAAAAAATAAAAATAAAAATTAATAAAACATTGCGTCCTGAAACTGTAAAATCTGCTTCTCCCGATCTGATACACATTAAACACACCGGACAACTATCCGCCCGCTGGGAGACGAAGAACCTCTAATCACCACTATTAAATATTCAGTCACTTTTTAAAAAAGCTCAGCGCTGCCAATACGAGCCAGATCGGCCCATTTGTTTCATAATCATGTTAATTTGACTCGCACACACTCGTCTGCGCTGAGACTGTTCTGTGTCTCTGCGTCCCGTTTCTCACAGTCGCCGCTCAAACTCTAAAAGGGACCAAAGGTGAGGCTTAAAAGCTGTAAAAGGCTGCTTTAATAAACGAGCGGCGCTCAGAACGAGGTGATAATGAGCCGTTGGCGCTCGGATCACATGACGGGCAGAACCGAGACCCGCGGGTTCAGCGTTCGGCTCTGATAACGCCTTCACTTCCATTAGCAGGAGCAGCGGACACAGGCAGACGCTAGGAATGGGGTGTATATAAATGTATGTGTGTGTGTGTGTGTGTGTATTCACCTAATGCAGCTCTTGTGTGACAGTCGTAGAAATGGACAACTGAGAAACTGAGGGAGAATGTCTGTGGAATGACACAATAAGCCATAAATCCTCATTAGGCGACAAACAAGACACACACACACACACACTTTGGGTTTTATATTTATGGGTATTTTCCATAGACAACGGTTTATATACTGTACAAACTGTATATCATCTCCCCTAACACTAACTCTACTCTTAAACATACCCATCAAACACACACACACACACACACACTATTAGAGCCAGACCGATATATCGGCAGACCGATATTATCGGTCGATATTAGGCATTTTCCAAACTATCGGTATCTGCAGTTATAATGGCCGATAAATGAATATTTCAAAAATAAAATAAAAATGCACGAAACATGCTTGAACCATGTCATGAGTGTTGGAGTTGTATAGTTTGTCCACCAGAGGGCGCTCTACACCGTTCCTGTTGGCAACACTCGTTGAGTTGGTCACGATACATACATTGCTTAAATAACAATTAAAAGAACATCCCAATCAGTTCTCTTAACTCAAATAAGCATGACAGAATTTGTGACTATCATGTCCAGTTTCAAAAAAATAAAATATCGGCCGATATATCGGAATATCGGATTTTAAAACCCAAAAATATTTGTATCGGCCCTCAAAATCCTTTTATCGGTTGGGCTCTACACATTATACCCCAAAACATACCCATCACACACACATTAACCTAACTTCTAAACACACACACACACACAAATGGCAGAGACACTATTGATTAAACAGTATTTACATTTATCTATTTAAAGAGGACACTCATGAAATGAACACTGAGAGTTATGAATGTCTCCAGAGTCGCCGGCCGGGATTTCTCGGGTTCGGACCCATTATATGCATTTCCCACCGGAATTACAAATCCACAAATGCAGACACTTTCTAAATGTGTGTGTTTCTTTGCACAAGGACTTAAAAACACACAAAAACCAAACAAACGAGAAGGAAAACTGTGCAGATGTTCCTCTTCCACTGCTCACGGGAACTAAAGAAGAGATCAAATAAATAAGAAATATACCATAGAAATGTATATTGACGTGACTGCAGACTATCCTGGAAAATTACAGCACAGTTTGAGACATTATAGGAGCTTTTCTGTCTTTTCTGAAATATTTGAAGACGGATTAAGCGAAAGATTCGATTTGCTCAGTTTATCCTCAGTGCAGTCTGGGAGAATCAATCGCAACATTAAATAAAGCTCATTTATGATTCGCCTTTCCGACATGCTCCAAAATACTCAGGAAAAATACGAGAATACGCAACATCACAGGAGAACAACAGATCTCTCCATCATCATCATCATCTGTCACGATCCATAAACTCCCTCAGATGACTGACAGTTCAGGTGAAACTCGATATTGTGATCGAAATCATTTATTTCAGTAATTCAACTTAAAAACTGAAACTAACAGACTCATTACATGCAAAGTGAGATATTTCAAGCCTTTATTTGTTATAATTTTGATTATCATGGATCACAGCTTATGAAAACATCAAATTCAAAATTAGAATATTGTGAAAAGGTTTTCAAGCCATAATCACCAAAATTATAACAAATAAAGGCTTGAAATATCTCACTTTGCATGTAATGAGTCTATATAATATATTAGTTTCACCTTTTAAGTTGAATTACGGAAATAAATGAACTTTTGCATGATTTTTCGAGTGTCACCTGTATTCCCCTTTCATGTTGACATTTCAGGAAGTGTTTATTTGACTGATATTTACAAGCGTACGGTCTTCACTGCTGATCACCCAACTTTCAAACAATTAATTAAAAAGATGGAAACAGAAGATTTTCCCCCTCTCTCTCTAGCAGTGTGTGTGTGTGTGTGTGTGTGTGTGTGTTTGTCGTAGCAGGCGGTCCTCATTGATGCTGGACTTTGACAAATTTCACTCTCTGGACAAATTGACGGTCACGGGAGGATAAAAGAACAGCATGACCTCTGAGCGCGATCGCTAATGTGTTCGGTCTGATACGAGACTCCAGCAGAGGTCAACCACACACACACACACACACACACACACGATTACCATCCTGAATCCTGAAGAAGATTCTTCCCAGCTAAGAAAGTCTTGCCAATGTTCACATTTAGTTTTGAGAAGTTCACAGCATGTTTTAAACATAAAGTAAACATTACATTCTGCAAACAGTACAGGAATGCTCCGATTCTAACATTTACAAAATGGCGGACAAACATCCAGCTGAAACGTTTCAGAAATTTTTTTTGATATACTAATCTAACTGTATTGATTTAGTGTGTGTTTTATGCTCCATTCTGCAGACTTATATTGATACGCTGTTCTCTATTCCTGTTCATTCTCTCGGTTTAGATTCGCTTTCCTTCGTTAATGATTCGGTCTTCGCTCGTTCCCCATTGCGTTTACCTTTAGTTCCAGTTGTTTCCTTGAAATTATTTGTGGAATTTACGAACACTGTTTAAGACAACGTACATGACAACTACTAAAATATGTGATGTAATAAAAGAAAAACAGACAAAAGAGATAATATATATATTTAAGAGGATAATTTTGTTTTATAATTTCTTATTGACAAATTTTAGCATGAAAACCAAAGTTTAAATTATTAAAAGCGTGTGTGTTGACTTCTTGTGACATGGGTCAGAACTCCTGATATGATGTAATTTTTTGATTTTCACTCTTGTCATAAATTCATCTATTATCGTTCCTATAATTTGAGACAAAACGAAATGCTAAAATATCTATTTAGGAGTCTTTGACCTTAGCAACGATATATTGGATTTAATTGTAATATAGTGAAGTAAACGTAGGCAGTTTGACCTTAACGCTGACTTTAACTATTCGTTGACATCAAATATGTTTGCCTGTGTGACATCACAGATCCCGCTAAATCAAAACGAGCCGTTTCTGGAGCTTGTTTAAACGGTCACATATATCAGATTGTGTTAATTCCCCGAGAGATTCATCAGGACCGCGAACTGATGATCGATCTCGAGCGCAGAGACACGAGTCTGTCTGCTTTCTCCCTGCAGGATTGAACAGCGATCGCTCCTGGGAAGAGCAGAACCTCGGGAACACATCCAGACTACTCATAATACATCAGCTAAAAGAGAGAGAGAGAGGCAGAGAGACTCAAATCTCATTTTTTGGTGAGGTTGCAACATCAACGAATTTCATAATATCAAGATATGCATTTATGTGAAATTAAGGATTTAATCTATGCGTTTGCATTAATATGTTCTTCTACTGTCACTGTTCAAAGCATTCATAATGTACATTAAAGCACACATTTGTTCTTGTTCCAGGAGCGTTTCACTCGGATATACGACACAATATAAGTGAAAAGTACCGCACAACTTCCCTTTAATATTATAAATAAATACATGCAGCTTTCTGACTAACACATTACACATCAGCAGCACACAATTATCATGTTCTTCATATTCAAATGGCATTGTCTAAATCAGATTCAATGTGATTTCTGCTGTTCACATCCAACAAGCAAATCTAAGAAAATGAGACGAGCTTCTTTAAATTCTTGTTCAAAAGTCAGATATTGTCCAAAAAAAAAAAACAACTACAACTACAAACAACTAAAAAAACAACTTAATGAACATTAAGGAATTGAATGGCATTGTCTAAATCGGATTCAACGTGATTTCTGCTGTTCACATCCAACAAGCAAATCCCATTAGTGATCGCAGCCGAAGAAAATCAGACGAGCTTCTTTAAATTCTTGTTCAATAGTCAGATATTGCCCTCAAAAAACAACATTAATGAACATGAAGGAATCAGAGGAAACCGGGAACAGCCTGTCAGCCAATCAGCTGCGAGCACACCAGCCTATCAGCCAATCAGCTGCAAGCACACCAGAGCTTCGCTGGCATTATTATTGATGGTTTGATTATGAGTGGAGGAAAAGGAGCGAGACCCGGCTGGAGAGAGAGAGAGAGAGAGAGAGATAATCAGGCTCTTACCCCGGGTAGAGTCTTTTGTTCATGGAGAGCGCTCTGGGCCTTCAGCGCTGACTCTCTGGCACAGTACGTTAGAAAGGCACATCCTGAAACACACACACACACACACACAGCGAATTCATCAGTGTGTCGTGTTGAGGAGTTACGGAGTGATCAGACTCGCTCTGCACAGGCAAACATCACTCAAAAATAGGGTTGGGCATCGTTTGCATTAACGATTCCTAATTTTGATTCCAGTAAGGTAAAAAAAAATTTAAACAATTATATATCATTCACATTTAGTCTTATTGCAAAATGATTAATATTTCTGATTATCATGAGCACAAATCAACAGGCTGAAGAACACTTACACAAGCAGCGTTTGCCTGTACTTTAGAAACACTATAGAAGAACAACTCGCCAAACTAACATCCATTTCAAACATTATTAAAGACAATAAACACTGTGTAATTAAACAAAATTAGCAAATCGCAGCAAATAGATACAACTGAACAAAGATACGACTGAAATAAACAGTGTTGTAAGATTGTCAGGTTTTCACAAACTGTAATCTAACACTGCACTTTATAAATAAAATATACATTACAGATATGATGAAGAGAGAGCGAATTTTCACTGTCTTCTGTTGTTTGATTAGTGGTCGACGATATATCGGCCGATATTTGGCATTTTTAAAATATACGATACGTTTTTCTGATTGGCTGATGCGTTGGACTTTTATTTTGACGTGTAATTGAGAACGGCAGCGTCTGATCCCACAGCGCTCTCACATCCTCCGTCTTCACTAGTTTATGATCTCTAGTCATATGTAATACTTTGTTAGACAGAACCGGTAAACAAAGAAAGTCATTTGATATGTAAAGTACCATTGAAAACAACAAAGTCTGCAAGTACAGATTGAGATTCAGATTATTTTATTTCATGCCATGTCAGCAGTCAGAGCTATTTTCATGGCAAAAAAATGAATTTACAAAAATACAAATATCATATAAATACCAAAAAAAAACAAAAAACAAATACAAACAAGAAGTCATATTATACAATATATTTTTTTAAATTAACATATGATAAAAAAAAAATCCAGAACCTTTTCAGGCATAATCTCATTAAATATGTCCTTCAAAGAAGTAACTTCTTCATAAAAGAGCCTTCTGCTTGCGTTAAGTGCAGGACAAGCTAATAAAAAAATGGGAATTTTACAAAACATACATAAAGTTGGGTCTTCACCTTTAAGCAAAAAAGCATGGGTCAAACTTGTATGACCCATACGGCTCTGCAAGTAAGTTAAAGAATAAAAAATAAAAAAATCATACAGCGAGACATGCAAACGACAGCTATATTCAAAAATCACATTAATTGGACAAATAGCAGAAAACACACACATTTTCAGACACCTCCACCTCCAAAGCGCCACTGCAAATTAATCGAACATGCTTAAACATCAAAAGCAAATGTGTTTCTGCCCCATGTGTGTCAGCGGTGACCCAGCGAGAGGCATTTCTGCAGCGTGAGCAGAAACACACACACACCCAGGACTTTACGCCGGATGTCAACTTTAAAAACCAGACAGGCTCTTTCTAGAGTTTCTAGATTTATAGAATAAATCCTGATCTTGAGCAAAACAAGCAAGCGGACATTCAGTGCAATCTGCCTTATTTAGAATACACACAAATGTAATTTACGTCTTTGAGTTTGTCAAGAGATTTAAAGCGTTGTTTATTGAAGAGTGCACATGTGTGAACGAGTCTATGATTCAATCTGGAAATAACTGAGAAATATTCCTCAGGAGCATGTCTGAGATTTATAGCAAAACATCTAGAGTTCATTCTGTCTCAAACAGATTCATTAAAAGTAGTTATTACTCCATAACCTGCGTGACATCATTAACCTACGTGGTTGAACGACCACATTTTGCGACAATATGGTTTGGGGAAACAGTCGTGAGTCGTGACTATAGTTGATCTCTTCAATGATGCGTCGTACTGTGATAGTGAAGCGAGTAACAGCGGTGTACGGGACACACACACCACAGCGTTCCTGACAGACTGGGAAGAGAGGAGCCGCAACAATGGAGGATATGAGGAGAATAATCAACATTCAAGCAGGAAAACCTGTTCTAGAAGAGCCTGAACACATCAAGACTTGAAATGTAAAAGGTTAGTTTTATAGTTAGTTTAATAGTTCTTCTTTGGTCAAGGACACTAAAGCACTGCCCTGACGGCCGTGTGTGTGTGTGTGTGTGTGTGTGTGACGATCCTCCCCGTGACTCGAGGCTATTAATGTAAACTAACAGCTTTAATGATACACGTCTGATCCACTGGGAACCATCAGCACCAAACCTGTGATTACAGCGAGCGAGCGAGAGAGTGAGAGAGAGGGAGCACGTGTGTGTGAGTGAGAGAGAGAGAGAGTTTATGAAGGACTAAATAAGAACCTAACGGAAATATTTTGGCCTCTGCTCAAGTAGATTATATAATAATATAATGTCTTTATAATGTTGATGCTCAGAAACGCACTGAAAATTAAATAAGAAGAAGCCCTGCCTTCAGCTCAGGGAAATATGAACGAGCTCGAAGACCGAAAAACAAGTGTGTGTGTGTGTGTGAGAACTGTTAATAATGCAAAACAAGCACAATGACATGAGCTGTATTGCTCAATAAATACACAGACAGGGTTTATGGTCTTAAAATAACTACAGATTAAGTGAATGCAATTACACTTTTTTAAAAAATAAATTAATTAGTTCTTCATAGCAACCATTTTTATTTCTTCATTCATGAGTTTCATTGTGTTCGTGTTTACATTAAGTTCAGAGGGGGGGGATTACGTTTGTGTTTCCATCACTGCTCTGCGCACACACACACACACACACACACACACATTATTATATTTTTTACCATACCATAACAAATCATTTCTGGACTGCTTATTACGCAATTACCTTTTATGGAAACAAGATTACATAGTTTTACGAGCATCTATGATAATAATGTTTTTTTTTGAAAACGTCTCCATTAAGTTATGGAAACATTATTTCTATAAATGTTTTAAAATGTTTTGTATTAATATTCTAAAAACTTTTTTTTCTTATTTATGAGAAGGCTAGGGGAACATTACGGGAATGTTCCAGTTAATAAATTTACAAACATTAGATGAATGTTACTTGTTGAAAGTTTGATAACAAGTAGTAAGTAGTTAGATGAACGTCCAACTAAAAAAATAAACGTTTCAACGAGAACGTTATGGACCATTTTCACATTTCCGGTTTCCACATTGGCGAATGATAGACATTTATTTGTTTGTTGTTGTTTTTTTGTTGTTTTTTTAATCGATCAACTAACAAGACAATATTGTTTCCCAACTTTTCAAAACGAGTATAAAACAATAGAGAGAGATTGATAACAGCAGTCAGAAAAGACGAGAAGTCTCACGGTCACATCAGCTTTAACTAGATTTTTATGCTAATTTAATATAATTCTAAGTATACTTTTATATATATTTTAACTTACATACATTTAAAAATGAAAATATTAAAGACTTTCAAGTTTCAATACGATCCTGATGACCATTACAACCGTTAAAACGTCATCCCAGTCTGAGGGAAAAGGTCCGTTAACTTTGAATGAACATTCTATTATCGTTACTGGAGGAACGTTTGTTCGTAACTTTGAGGGAACCCTGTTAGACCGTTCTGAGACACACAGACAGAGAGAGAGAGACCAAAAGAAAGATAAAGTCTGACCTTTATGCATCCCGGTGAACCGGTCCTTGAGCACCGTGAGCTCGTAGATCTTGCCGAACTCCTCGAACAGCGGCTTGAGGTCCTTCTCCTCCAGGTTTCGCGGGATCTGGCCGATGAAGAGCTTGATAGCGTCGTGATCTTTCATGGGAATCGCGCTGTTGAGTCCGTTGATTCTGCCGGTGCTGAAGCCATTCTCCGCCGTGACCGAGGCCATCTTTCTCCCTCCCGCGCGCTGTGTCTCCCGCTCTCTACCATTCACTCCTCTCTCTCTCTCTTCTTTCTCTTTCTCTCCGTCTATCACAGCTGTACACTCCTCTCTTGGCGTGATGTATCTCACCTCGTCTTCTCCTCAGGATTCCTTCACTTTCTCCATCTGCCTCGCTCTCCGTGTGTCAGCTGCCACTCTGACTCTCGTGACGTCAGCTCGCGCTTTTTGAATAGACCCGCGGTTCATTTGCATAATCAGCCCGGGCCAGCCAATCACAGGGCGGCGTGAGTGAAGGCGCTCGTGCGGGGCGGGGCGAGAAGTCAAACATTTGTACGGCGTTCAGAAGGGTTTTTAGATCTCGAATTTGCATAAAAGCAACACGTTGTGAAGCTGCATTTAGCAGCTTTAACCCTTTAAAAATCACTAAAATAGCTACAATTTAATCATTCGAACTGAAATGCCCAATATCTAACATAATAATGCCTAAACAAAATTTTCTATCACATGTTTCAGCTGATATTATTGGTTTTATTTGACATTTGACACGTTGTATGCATTGCTCGTTCACAGTAGGTTGATAAAAAAAAATTCATGCTTGGCTACATGCATTTTGTATTACAAAAAGGGTACTTTGATATTATCATGGTATTTGTCAAGTTAATATGCTGATTTTGAAACAATCTGTTATAAAAAGCCCTATATAAATAAAGGTGACTTGATTTTTTTGTAAAAAAAAAAACAACAACACAATTTTTTAGACTAACTGTTCTTCTGCATCTAAAATCTCTGTATATGCAAGTACATATAAAAATACTCTCTGTTATTAAAAAAAATGAATGTAATACATTTGCATTGCTTGATTTTTACAGATGAGCCCCATGTGGACACGTGACTGGCATCATTAGCTCGGATTGGCTGATCTCGCGGTGTCGCTGTCCGCGGTGCTGAACTCTCGCGCGGGGACTCACATCAGCTTCGGATTTGACGGTCCAAACTTTAATTTTGCAGGTAAAGTAATGAGACGATGACGTCACTGTCTGATTTATCTACATCTATGACAGCACGACATCACGAGACCGGAGAGTAGCTGTCACTATGAAGGGAAGCAAAGATAGAGAAGCTGCTTGAAATCCCATCTTGACTGAAATGCAATTATATCGCATTGTGTTGCTGTCTGTCCTCGATGTTAATCAGCACTACTCAGCATTACATATTCTCATATCCTGACACTTGTGTGCTTGCTGTTCAACAGATGCTTCTCAGTGATTATTTCATTTTCTTTCAGCACTAGATAACCTCAGATCTCCCGTTTCTTTTGCTCGTCGTGTTTTGTGAGCAAAGCTGAGTGGAAATGTCACCAGCTTTCATTTGCATAAAGGCATGGCTAATTTGGCCCCGTGCATGTCGTTTATGGGGCTTGTGATGTTTTGTTGTGAAGAACCAGCAGCGATCATCATCATCATCATCATCATCATCATCATCATCATCATTTCAGACAGCGACTGAAGCCTGGATATCATCATGATGGAGATGTTGAGGGTTTCTTCAATCACGCCGATGTAAAGACAGACAGACAGACACCTGTTCAAGAGGAGAGAGAGAGTCAAACCCATGCTGACAGACAGACAGACAGAAATAAGAGAGAGAGATCTTTGCACTAAACATTTAAATGTTTGCTTATTATGCACATAATTCAGATTTCATGGTACAAACTTTAATTTAGCAGGTGAAGTAATGAGACGATGATGTCAACATCTGGTTTATCTACAGTCAAACCAAAGTGTGTTTAGACTCCTTCAACATTTCTCACATTATCACAGTTTATTCACTATAGTTGGTCATAAAATATGACAAAATATGACTGGTTTTGTCCGTCCTTCTGTTGGACTCTCACACATGAATTATGTTGAATGTCTGTTAAATTTAACTCCACAATTAGATAATACCAGTTTAGCTCAACCAGTGACCAAGCAATGCTTCATGTTGTTCAGTGTGTGTGTAAAAAGAGCATTAGCAATTACAGAAAACACACTGAAGAATATTTTGCTATTAGGAATTACCCAATTCAGGGCCAGTAAAGGATGATAAACTGGCTGAGATTCGGGCCAGTTATGGCCCATGTGTGACCCTTGTCTTTAGTCCAGTTCTGGGCCACTTCAGCGCCGTCATTCTTTGCAGTACACTCTCAGAAAAAAAGGTACAAAAGCTGTCACTGGGGCTGTACCTTTTCAAAAGGTAAACTTTTGTACCCAAAGGCTGCATATTGGTACCTTAGTGGTACATATTAGCACCTAAAATGGACATATTAGTACCTAAATATACATATTAGCACCTAACATGTACATATTAGGACCTAAAATGGACATATTAGTACCTAAGTGTACATATTAGCACCTAAAATGTACATATTAGCTCCTGAAATGGACATATCAGCACCTAAAATGTACATATTAGTACCTAAAATGTACATATTAGTACCTAAGTGTGCATATCAGCACCTAAAATGTACATATTAGCACCTAAAATGTACATATTAGAACCTAAAATGGACAAATTAGCACCAAAAATGTACATATTAGTACCTAAATTGTACATATTAGAACCTAAGTGTACATATCAGCACCTAAAATGAACATATTAGCTCCTGAAATGGACATATTATCACCTAAAATGTACTTAGCACCTAAAATGTACATGTTAGGACCTAAAATGTACATATTAGCTCCTGAAATGGACATATTAGTACCTAAGTGTACATATCAGCACCTAAAATGTACATATTGGTACCTAAATATACATATTAGCACCTAAAATATACATATTAGGACCTAAAATGTACATATTAGCTCCTGAAATGGACATATCAGCACCTAAAATGTACATATTAGTACCTAAAATGTACATATTAGAACCTAAAATGGACAAATTAGCACCAAAAATGTACATATTAGTACCTAAAATGTACATATTAGAACCTAAAATGAACATATTAGCTCTTGAAATTGACATATTATCACCTAAAATGTACTTAGCACCTAAAATGTACATATTAGGACCTAAAATGTACATATTAGCTCCTGAAATGGACATATTATCACATAAATGTACTTAGCACCTAAAATGTACATATTATACCTAAATGTACATATTAGCACCTAAAATGTACATATTAACACTTAAAATGTACATATTAGCACCTAAAATGGACAAAAGTTTACCTTTTGAAAAGGTACAGCCCCAGTGACAGCTTTTGTACCCTTTTTTCTGAGAGTGTACTTGGGTCGAGGGGAAAGTGACTGTGTGGGCCGGAGCTGGGCCAGAAAAAATCTGCTATGTGGGGTGATGGAGTGTGTGATGAAGTCATTCTGTCTGGTCTGGGTGAAACACACACACACACACACACACACACACACTGCAGTCAGGGGTGTAGGTTGTGAATAATATGACGTCATGAACATCAGTGAATCACATCAGACCCGGTGAACCTGTAAAACACAGTAATGATAAATATCATGATCAGATTATGGGACAAATACAGAAACTGAGGCTGCCAGAAACACAGTAACAATATTTCATATTTTACAACTTATTAACTATATAAGTGATGTAATGTTACCAGTGACAATATTTCAGACATATGTCTATATATTTTACAACATATTAACTATATTTCTTTGTGAAATGTACTGATGCGCACAATAATAATACAGTTGATAAAACACAAAGGCAGATGATTGTGATCCATAAACACGGCCAATACTAATATATAGATACTGCACAGGGTCAGGACACACCAGGGTTACAAATAACGTAATAAACATGAACTAAATACATAAAATGCCTAAACAGTTAAATAAGAAACAAAACTATTGAAATGAAATATTAACAGACCAAATATAAACATAATCTTTTGAGTTTGACAGAAGAAACAGATCCTACAGATGTTCATCTCTCTCTCCACCTCTGGGTGTGTTGCACTCTCAGAGAGAGAGGAGACGCAGGAGAAGTGAAACTCGAGTGTGAACGAGAGCACAGCGCTTGAGTTCCCCCTGGTGGAGGTTTTTCATGATGTTCATGAGCGTCATTCATCATGACTGTGATTGGGCCACGGGTGATCACATGACCGATGTGACTTTAAATCGAAACTGCTTTTATACAACAGTTCAATAAACAACAAGTTAAAATTGAGTTTTATCAGAGAATAAGGTCTATAGTGCTTTCTAAATGCAGCAAATCACTTCCTGCCCTCCATTTGTATTTCGCGCCATGGCAACGCAGTGACGTGACGTCATATGAAAACAAGCTATAAAATATTGGCCTGGAACGGCTGTATAAAATAATTAGTAAATGGCACACGCGCACACACACACACACACACACACACACACACACACTCTCTCGCTCTCTAAAGACTGAACAGCAGAGAGTTTAGGACTTTCTAATCTAATGCTGATCATAACTGCATGTTACAGAACACTGTTGATCTACCAGATGAACTTCAGCATCGTCTGCACATTATGGCTTTCACAGCAAACCTTTGTTGTCATCCAGGTTTCATTTGTGAAGTTGAAGTGAAGCAAAAGCGCCACCTGATGCAAAAAAATACGTCACTGCATGAAAGCAACATGTCATAAAGGTCAAACTCGAAAAAGTGCAGAAGTTCATTTATTTCAGTAATTCAACTTAAAAGGTGAAACTAATATATTATATAGACTCATTACATGCAAAGTGAGACATTTCAAGCCTTTATTTGTTATAATTATTATAACAAATAAAGGCTTGAAATATCTCAATTATTGTGATGATTATGGATTTCAGCTTATGAAAACCTTTTCACAATACTCTAATTTTGAATTTGAGGTTTATTAATATAAATATATATATATATATAGCCATAATCATCAAAATTCTAATTTTTCGAGTTTCACCTGAAGAGAAATCAAATGGAGAGAAATTAAGCATCTAAAATTGTGCAAAACCTCCTTTTATTTGTTCAGTTCAGCATTAATTCCACCTGTACAATCGCAGTTCATACAGCATGACCAAACACCCGCAGATCTGAGATCCAGAGAGCATCCGAAGACATTCCTCCTGTCCAATCACACAACTCACATAGAGGAGATTATTTACAGAGACCAGCTGACCGTCTCATATCCGACAGATCCAAGGAGGACATGTGCGTGGGAGAGAATCCGATGCAACGCCCTGAAAATCAAATACACACCACAAAACACTCACAAACGTCCAAGAGCAACAGAATAAAGTCAAAACACACGAGAAACACCAGCAGTCAAACGTTTGGACTTCATCCTTCCCTCGGGTCGTTTTTGAAACTCACTTTTTAAACATTTTTAAAAATTAGGTGTTCATCAGAGGGGTCCAAGACTGAACTACTTGAACCACGAACACACACACACACAAAACACATTGAATGTATTGGAAGAGTTTTGTGGATTAAATAAAAAAAAGTTACAAATCTGTTCACTCAATCTGACCCCCTTAGGAATGAATGGAATGATTCAGTACACATAGAAAAACATAAAAAATACTCAAAATTCAAACTAAAAATGCTTTTAAAAAATATTTTATAATGTCTACATGTGTATCTGAATGCATATTGAAGAAAAACTGACCCAGTGGAACAGCTCGTTCACTCCATATAGAGCTATAAGCCCATCTAGAGTCATGAAATATCATGTCATATTATGTATTTTCCACAAGAGGTCAGCAAAGACACACAACGTCGGATATTTAGAGCTGAATTAAATGAGTTATTTTGAGTTTAAGTTGAAAGAATGTGAGGAATGTGCTTAAATTAGCCTACTATATATTTATTTATGATCAAATCTAGTAATTTAAAGGTAAATAAAATAGAAAATAACTAAAATTCTCTCCAAAATTGCATTAAAAAATATTATGAAAATTAAATAAAATAAGCTTTCTGGAATTTTTTTCTAATTTTAAAAAATATTATGAAAACAATAAAAAAAAAAAGCTTTGTACGTATAATTTTAGGCAGTTTTAATTGATTATTTAATTTCTTGTCCAGCTCGCTCTAAAATATTCTGAATATAAACCAAAGACCAAAAGACCAAAACACGGTTGGGAAGATTGGATTCATGATGAATCACTCATAAAAAGTTTCGAAATTTCGAACAAAATAAGTTACAGTTGTACATTTACTAATATTAAAGGCGCAGTAAACGTTCTCTGAGAAGTGGATCGAGCACAAACACACTGTAGCCAATCAGCAGTAAGGGGTGTGTCCACTCATTAGGGGGGAGGAGTTTTGATTGCATAGAGTGTTTGTGAATTTGGAGGTGGAGCTATCAAGACAGGGGCGTGGTCTGTTTTGGCCATTTTCCTCAGAAAACGTTACTGTAGCTTTAACTAATGGAACTTAACTGTAAAGTGTTACCCACAATTCATATTTTTGTAATGGAATATTGCAGTGTTTATCATAAATGATTTATCCGTGCATATCATTACACAAGAGATTCTCAACTTTCATTTCATGCCAGCAAGGGTAACACTTTCCAATAAGGTTCATATTGTGAACTAACAATGATCTGTTACAATATTTATTCATCTTTGTTAATGTTAGTTAGCTGTTTGTTCAGTAACTAATGTTATCAAATACAACCTTTGATTTTAATAAAGTATTAGCCCATGATTTATAACTAAGATTACTATATGCTGTAGAAGTATTGTTCATGTTTAAGGTAGTTAACCCTATTTTCAATGTGTGGTGAGTTTGATGACTTTCCTCTCATTAAATGAAGAACGTCCAAACGTTTCACTGCTATTATGCGACGACGGTCACCCACAAGCGTTCAGGAATGTCTGGAGAATTGACAGCAGAACTAAAAACGTCAGCTTCAGTTCGTCCCACGTTTTCAGGAGATGACATCACTGAACCTCGGCTCAGAAGCGGCGCCGTCCAGAAGATAAAAGCATAACGATGAGTAACGACGTGTCCCTGTCCTCTCATCCATGAACCGGTCCCCGATAAATCACGGCGGGAAAACTCAGATATTAATGTGCGTCATCATCCGTCAGAAAACGCCATACGAACACAATAAGAGTGCACACAGATTCACACGCGTTTGTTTCATGATATTTAGTGTGAGAAACTGACGTGAAAAAGAGTTCGAGCGACGGAGAGAGAAAACCAGAGTTCAGTTTCATTGGCCGACGGCTCCTCCAATCAGGCGCTTGTCTGCTTCTGACTGACGGCTCTGCGGGAGGTCAACGAGAGGTCGGAACGGGTTGTGGGCGGGGCTTTTTGCACTCGATAAATCCATTGTTTTTTTCGTTTTCCTTCTAAACGGAGGGTCGCCAATCCATCCCACGCTGGAAATCCACACCCGCATCCCATACTACAAATAAAGTATAGATGGAGTAGAGTCGAGGAACGACAGCAGGCAGGAGAGAGAGAGAGAGAGAGAGAGAGAGAGAGAGATGCCGGGTCTTTCTCCAGAAATGTGGCGTCTCACAGCGTCTCTGTAGGAAAGCCATCCGTTCAGCTGGAGTAGATCTGGGTGCCGATGACACGCATGATTTCCTTCTGTATCTTGGGCTCCTGTGTGTTAATGTTCGCATCTCCCACCTGACCGTCCTCATACCTGAGACACACACACACACGAGACGTCACACATAGCACTCATATTTCATACGTGTTCTTCATCAAAATGAACAAATCTTTTTATGAGTCATTTGGTTCATTCAACGAATGAAACAGACAAATTGACTCGGAAAATGATTCGTTCATTTTGATGAACGAGTTCGAACAGGAGAGTCACATAGAACAGAGCAAGGCGATCATTTTAGCTTATAAAACTTAAACTTTCCTATTTATTTTTGAAATGGCCGCTCGTTTCGCTTGATAAGACCCTTATTCATCATCTGGTGTCGTTTAAAGCCCTTTGAAGCTGCACTGAAACTGTCATTTGGACCTTGAACCGTTTGGACCCCATTGAAGTCCATTATATAGAGAAAATCCTCCATATGGACATCTTGGATGACATGGGGGTGAGTAAATTATCAGCAAAAGTTTTTTTAAAAGTGAACTACTCCTTTAACTGCAAACTTGAATGAAAACGTTTTCCTTAAAGGGTAACTAAACACCAAAACAACTTTTTTTAGTTAATGATCTGTAAGAATGGAGCTTCATAAATGCTGTTCATTGATTCGAGTACATTTTTTGACAATTGAGTATAAAGTGTTTTAATTTTCAAATATATGGTGTAAAAACGTCTGAGTGCTGCCCTCTTCAGGTTAAACGGAAAGCTCCTGCAGTAGGGGTACTTGCTGACGTAGCGAACTCTCAGACGCACTCTGTCACACCCTTGGTGCGAGCTCACCACGCCCTTGGCAGCCCCTGGTATAAAGCATCTGGTTCCGTCAAAACTACTGTAGCGAGTCAGGAGTTGGATTTATGAGTATTGAAAACGATCAGGATAGCATATAATAGCATCTAGTTAGCATAGCATTTATATAGTTGTTTAGATTATTTTTGAAAACGACCAGGATAGAGTATTGTTGCATCTATTTAGCATAGCATTATATAGATAATTTAGATTATTTTGAGTAGCATAGTACAGTTAGGATAGCTTCAAGTTAGCATAGATTTATCAGTGTTTAGTACAGTGATCAGGATAGTAACGGAATAGAGGTGGACATGGGCTTCTCCACACGCAGTGCCAAACACTGCTCGTCCTGCATGGACTCCTCCACCGCAGCGGCGTCCTGATGTGAGTGATCATGGATATTTTAATCACAATTTATGGTTAGGATAAAGTTAATCCTCTGGGGTCGACAAACGAGCCGGTGAATTTTGCTGTATTTTTTCATATAGCGGCATAATATCAATATGAATATATGCCAGCGTGCGCTATTGAGATCAACTCGACGACATAACTGATCAGATGCCGGTCGCGATGCGGGAGTTAAGACCGCAGTTTGAGCCAGCAGCTCGAATGGATTTGGCCCTGTGTCTACATACAATTCACCCTCATCCACTTCAGGTGAAGGTGAAGGTGAGGGAGAAAAGTCCTCGACTTCAAATGGCTGCTCTGTTGCAAAGGCAGCTACTTGAGTCACTCCAGTCTCGCTCTATTTTAGAGTCTGACAGCAGCTGTCACTCACGGCGGGTCTCAGGTGCACGCCCCCTAGCCCCGCTGGGGTCTGCCCATTTTTTCAGCATTTTTCAAATATTGCTAGTGGGTGGAGTCAGGCTCTGACCAGGGGTTTAGTTACCCTTTAACGTTTTTTTTTTTATTATTTATTTAATTAATTTTATATTTTATGTGTGTGTAGTTGTCTTTGGTCCTATCCTGTGATTGAGATGTATTTGTCCGTAAAATAAAATTAAAATACTACAATAAATATAATATATATATTTCATCCAAAAATGATGATACAGGTGAAACTTGACAAATGAGAATATGGTGCAAAAGTTCAACTTAAAAGCTGAAACTAATATATTGTATAGAGTCATTACATGCAAAGTGAGATATTTCAAGCCTTTATTTGTTATAATTTTGATGAGTTCATGAAAACCCCAAATCATAAATCAAAATGATAACAAATAAAGTCTTGAAATATCTCACTTTGCATGTAATGAGTCTATATAATATATTAGTTTTACCTTTTAAGTTTTGCACCAAATTCTAATTTGTCGAGTTTCACCTGTAGAATTTTGTGGTTTAGTTCTTTTTATTATTGTGCAATTTTTGTTAATGTGAAATAGCACAAATGTGCAATACATTTACATCTGAAATATAATCAAACTACCTGTGTACAGGGTCAGAATTTCCGTGCACTTTCCCTCTTGCAAATATCTATAATATGAGTACATACATTATTATTGTCTGTGCTTTGTATAATTCTTTATATATTCTACAGATTACAAACTTTTATGTTAGATGATTAGACAAATCTATTTGACAGCACTACTTTATAAATATTTAATTTTTGATTTTTTCATGCAGTCTTGTTTTCTCGTGATCTCAAATTTTTTTTGTGATCATGGCAAAAGACAAATTGATTTCTTGTGATATTGACATCATAAATCACTACATAATAAAAACACCAGAAAACAAATCATGTCGTTGACATCATGAGGAAAAAAAGTACAATAAAATAATTCTGTGCAGTTTTTCCCCTTGCAAATATCTATAGTAATATTTGCCTGTGCTTTGTGTGTGTATATATATATATACACACATTCTATTTCCTTTATATAATTTTTATTTTTGACCTAAGAGGCCATGCATTATTTTTTCTTTCTTGTTTTCTTATGATCTTGAATTAATTTTCCATTTAAGTTGATTTCTCGTGATATTGACAACAAAGCTCAACTTTTTTTGTTTTGTTGAATCAAGATCATGAGAAAAGTGTTTCATGTCAAGATCCCACGGAAACGAGAAAAAGACCAACATGCATGGCCCCTCAGGGCTTCCGTAGACATCATATATCCTCAGACACTCACACGAAGAAGAAGCGCGTGCAGACGTGATCCGACACCGGACACACCCAGATGTTCCCGTGTTTCTGCAGGTCTTTCGATGTGATCACTGCGACAGAGAAACAGATGTTCATCCACAACTAAAACTATTACAAAAACAGTTCTGTTCATTGATATACAGCTGAAATACAATAAAATATCAATATTAGTTGGAAAATAAACTGACATAGGCTTAACACTATTACTGGCAATAAATCAAAAATAAAAATAAAAATAAATTAAACCTAAATAGCAATATTAAAAAAAACAACAGAAAAATAGCACATAATGAATTTAACTTCACAAAAATCTATAAAAAAATAAAAGCTAAAATAACTCTTTTCATGTGTGAATTTTGGTTGAGATCCATTTTTTTCTTTCTCTGACCAAAATATATCAAACAAACCCTCACATGATGCTTCTGTTTTACCCGTGTTCGATCTAACGCGCATGACAACCGATTTTTTACAAATTCACGATAACAGTGTGATTTAAAAAAACCTGCACTTTGAAACCTGTTTTTAAAAGTTTGTATGCAATAGTTGTGTAAATGAACGGTCAAAAGAGTAAAAAGTTTTCTCTTTTAGTTGAAAACGGTGTCGTGTAAACGCCCCTTACTCTGTGTATATATGCAGGGGAAACTGGAAAAATGAGAATATGGTGCAAAAGTTCAGTAATTCAACTTAAAAGCTGAAACTAATGTATTATATAGACTCATTACATGCAAAGTGAGATATTTCAAGCCTTTATTTGTTATAATTGTGATGGTTATGGCTTACAGCTTAATTCTGAATTTGGGTTTTTCATAAGTTTTCACATTTTGTCCAGTTTCCTTCGTTCTCAGTGGGTTTAGTTGGTTGTGTTTGTTAATCTGGCGTATGATGTGAAAAAACGTGGCTGTGACACACACGCAGGTGTTTTACCTTCACAGAGAGCGATGCAGTTTAAATTCCTGCTCTGGAGGAAACGCGACTGTATCGGGCGACTCTGTAGAAAGACAAACAACACACACTTTATATCTCTGACGGGGCCATGAGCACAGAGTTTAAACAGGCGAGACGTCGTGTGTGTGTGTGTGTAGACGTCACTGTCGTACCTGTGGCATTGTGTTCATTCGGTTATATCGCAGGACTAGTTCATCTTTGGTGGGCATGCGATGTTGTCCCTTCCCCATTCCTAAAACACACACACACACACACACACGAGACTACATTTAATCTCCTGCACATCCCTGTAATGATGCATCCATAACAGAATCGGCCCGTTGACAATAAGATAACCGACAGTCGGTATGTTTTTCTGTTTCCATTTCTAATCTTATTTTAGTTTTTCTTTGAGAGATTTTGTCTTGGATCTTCTACGATAGAAGCGTGTTGGTTTTCCTCCTGCAGGATTGGGTCGTTGGTTATTTTTCTCGTCCAGCGACTACGAGGATCATCCAGTCTTCCGGTCCGTGATGATAGAGGTCTTTAGTTTGATCGGTGGGTTTAAGCGTCCAGTGTAGGCAGTGTTGTGCCTGAACGCATTCATCTACCCTCTGGTGCTCTTCGGTTATTTCTGACCGAAAAATTGAAATTTTAAAAATCACAGCTTCATCGCGATGTTACGAAACTTGGTGACTTTTATGGCATTGGGTATGACCCCATAGGAAATGAATGGGAAATTGTAAAAAAAAAAAAAAAAAAATTGTGAATATTTGTTTTGTCATTTTTTTTTTATAAGAAATAGTTTTTTAGGATTAAATTGTCTCAAAATACTAAATTAAAAAGAATAAATATTATAGAAAAAAAAATGCATTGGTTTTACTGGGATGGAGAGAGTTTCATTTTTAGGTGTCCGATCACTTTTGACCGGGAAGATAACAAGTGTGACTCCGAAACGAAGAGCACCCGAGGGTTAAATGATAGGCGAACGTGAACTGAACGTACTGTATTACTGCCTGATGAACGTTACTGTGAACTGGTTCATTCTGGTGTGTGTGAACACACACTCTCTCAGTTTAACTTCGTATAGGGTGCCAGATTTCAATAGAGCCTTCCAGATGAAAACCCCCCTAAAACACACGTAAACAGGCCGTAATATGTAGTGGAAAAACACCCAATCTGGCAACACAAGACACCAGTTTTGCCCTGCGGCCGCCGTATGCGTCATCAAAACAAAAAGCACGTGTAGTTGACAAAGCATCGAGGAGGCGTCGCATCGTATGATCAGTCTTAAGACAAGAAAAATCTTACATTTCCGTGCAAACTGTGCCAGCCGATAAAATAATTGCTGTCTGTGGTTCGCACAACAGCTCGCAGCAATATATGGAGACAAGAAGTAGTTCAGAACTGAACTTTGAACTAGTTCCTGTAGAAAGTGACCTTTCCCAACACTGAGGGCAGAGCGGATGTGAGATGCGAGATTGAGACGACTGGCGTGTGAAAATCATGTTGCTTGTCAAGAGTTTGTCTTGTTTTCCAGTAAAAATATCTAAACAGTCTTGAAACAAAAAAAATACATTTACTTGAGAAGCAATTCTGCATGAGATTAAATAGAAAATTAATCTGTTTTATTCTTACACCATTGATAAATGATTTATTCCTAGTTTGACATGGGGTGAAATTACCAAACGGTAAAGCGGATTAGGCTTGGAACAAAAAAATATAAAGAAAAATGAACATAAACAAGTCTTTTCACTGAATAAAAATCTTCCTCAGTGTTTCTGTCTGGTTTTCCAGTACAAATATCTAAACATCCTAAGATCAAGAAACATTTACTTGAGAAGCAAAATTACAAGTCTTTTTTTCTGAATAAAACATCTCAAATGTAGTTAATGCTTAAAACATGAACATTTACAGGTGCAAAAGTTAATTTCAGTAATTCAACTTAAAAGCTGAAACTAATATATTATATAGACTCATTACAAGCAAGATGGGATATTTCAAGCCTTTATTTGTTATAATTGTGATGATTATGGCTCTACATATATATATATATACACCCCAAATTCAAAATGAGAATATTGTGAAAAGGTTTTCAAGCCATAATCATCACAATTATAACAAATAAAGGCTTGAAATCTCTCACTTTGCATGTAATGTGTCTATATAATACATTAGTTTCAGCTTTTAAGTTGAATTACTGAGATAAACAAACTTTTGCACCATATTCTTTTTTTTTGAGTTTGACCTGTATTTTTCTAGTTTTAAGCAGCATGATTTTCCTTCTCAAGGGAATGCATCTTGATTTGAGAATATTTAATATTAATGTTATTTTCTAGGGAAATATATATATTTTTTTACAGTGTATCTTGCACGAATATGCATTTAGTTTTAAAGATATTTTCACTGAAAAACAAGGCAAAATACAGTAAAAACAGTCCATAACAAACAGGAAAAAAAACAAAATCACATTATTGACTGCATTAAAATCAGAGCATGCACAACAAAACACTCGAATGGGTCCGAAAGCAAAGCCTGATGTGTTTGTAAAAGAGAGAGAGAGACTGAGATGTGGATTTAGATGGACTGACGCCCCGAAGAACAGCCCAGCCGACACACATCTACAGCGGGTTTGGGTCGTACCTGAATATCCAAAGGAAATACTGGATATGGGGCTCAGATAGATGCCCTTTCCGTACGCTGCTCCATGCAGCTTTGATGAAAGAGAAGAACAGGAGGAGAGAGTTGGAGTTGTTTTATTGCAGAGCACCAAAAAGAACAACAAACAGAGCAAACGCACAACTCTGACATGATCACAGATGTATGAGGTGATGGAGTCAATGACACCGGCCAATCACAGCCAAGAATGAAAAGAAAAGCATCATGGGAAATGGAGTAAAGCGTGAGGAACGAGTGATGCCCAGGAAGAAGATGAATGATGATGATGATGGATTCCAGTGATACATGAACATGAGTTATGAACGAGAGTTTACAGCTGTAAGACTGAATGAAATTACGGACGTCCTTCAAGGAGGAAAATAAGACAGAAGACATGGAGATGATCAACATGAGGAAGGACAGGTTTGTTGATTTGTTGAGGACTTTGTTGTTGAACACAAACCCCTTAGAAACCTCATTAAACGCCACATTCACACTGATCTCAAAGTCTTCAGTGAAACGCTAAGAAAAAACGCACACGCATTCCTCTTCATTCATGTATAATACATACAAGTGAAACTCGAAAAATGAGAAAATGGTGCAAAAGTTAATTTATTTCAGTAATTCAACTTAAAAGGTGAAACTAATATATTATATAGACTCATTACATGCAAAGTGAGATATTTCAAGCTCAAGTTTGGGGTTTTCATAAGCTGTAAGCCATATTATAACAAATAAAGGCTTGAAATATCTCACTTTGCTTGTAATGAGTCTATATAATATATTAGTTTTACCTTTTAAGTTGAAATACTGGAATAAATGAACTCTTTCACAATATTCAAATTTTTCGAGTTTCACCTGTATATAATGTTGTGTATCGCTCAATCTGACCTTTCATTTCTAAAAGTTCACACAATTATACACTAAATTAGATTAAAAATGCAAAATAACTAATTATTCACAGAATGGGGAAAAAATTGTTTTTTCTTGGTATTTTTGTCTTGTTTTCCAGTTTCTTGAATCATGATGCAGAATGGCAGAAGAAACGTATCAAATGTAACTGACTTCTTGTTTAAAATAAGGAAATACAAACGTACTGTGATAAGTACACTGCAAAAAAAATGCTTTTTACTTAGTAGTTTTGTTTTGTTTCCAGTCTAAATATCTAAACATTCTTAAATCAAGAAGCATTTACTAGGTACGTAAAATGACATAATAAATTATATCTTGTTTTCTGCTGATAATAATAATAATTTAAAAAAATTAAATGAGTTTTTGCTTAGAATAAGCTTCATTTTCTGCCAGTGGGGTGAGAAAAATCATAATTTCTTGTCATTTTACTTCTCTCGCTACTTGATTTAAGAATTTTTAGATACTTTGACTGGAAATGAGACAAAAATACTACAGTAAGTAATAAAAGCATTTCTTGCTGTATATTTAACTAATTTTTGGACCCCATTGGCAGATATCTTTATTGTTTTAAAAACCTAGTTTTTTTTACTGATATGGACGTATGTGTCTGAATTAAAGTTTCAAGTTAAGTTGATCAGTGTCTCAGAAAACAAGACTCAAGGCCATTTTGCTTCTCAAGTGTAAATGTGTCTTGATTTATAAAGTTTAGATGTTTGTCCTGGTGTCACTTACTACTGTTTAAGACAATGTAGCAGATTAATGTTTCAAATGTTAATGTTAAACACTCACTCAAATGTGGCTGATGACGGGGACAGGCTGAGAACATGAACTGGAGATGAGTCTGAGATCAGCTGACTGATGTAATTTACATACCTGCAGTTTAGTATAAGAGGCATTGACCAATCCGTTTCTCAGAACCGAATGCCAGTTCTCAATATGGGAACCACTAGAGAGAGAGAAATATAGCAGTAAGTGAATGTTACGATGCTCATTATTAATTTGGAGGCGAATGATAATAAAACGTTATAAAAAATACCACAATATCACAGACCAGATAATGCCAACTTACGGTACAAGCAACCCCTTGCAAATGTCCTAGTATCACAGTTGTGAGTTTTGCACCACTAACATTTCAGAAAATGTCAATTTAGTTTTAGAAATGTGACAAAAAATTCTGATGATCTGTACATTATTATGGTTTGTTAAATCTGGCACAAGCGTATTATTTATAAACCGCCGTCAGCAGCCTGAAAGAGTTACGCTAGTCCTTTGTTGGCTGTTTTTGGAAGACTTTTATAAAAGTGGAAATGTGTCGAGCAGAATAACTCAAAAGCACAGAAATCACTGAAGCATTGTCCTGGCGTTTTTAAATTTAGCCCACCTGGATTACAATCAAAGTTAAATAAAGTCTGCACCCAAAATAAACCTGGTGTTATTTTTAATCCTCCTGATGTTATTTTGCGGCTGGTCTGTGTTTGTGCTCTGAATAGTACAACCAATTTAAATGAATCGGGAATACAAACTCATAAATAAGACACATTTTGTTCTTAACCTACAACCAATGAACTAGATGAACAAGATTTTACTTGTTAATCCAATCAAATAAGAGAATAAAACTAAGGCCAATCCATTTAATGTGTTTAAAACTAATTTTCATGCTGTTCACTTTATATTGGAAAAGAAGTCTCTCTCAATAGAGATTTATTAATCATAACTATTCATGCAAAATGCCGTTTTTCTAATTCTAGTTGTAATGATTAGAAGAAAAAAAAGGTTGTTGAATTTAAAAAGTTACATTACATCAAATTTAAATCCACATTAAGGCCACCCTTAAAAATATTCTTGTTTGCCGTAACCCGACCGACCCTGTCAATTTAGGGCCGACCCAATTTTTTATTTTTTTTTCCTTTTAGTCCGACCGACTTGCCGGTTGTAACTTGCGTTCAGACCGACCGATTTTTTTTTTTTTACTCTTCAAACGACTAATTCAAATTCAATAAAATAATTAATTATATTTTAGTTAGTATTGTGAAAGAACTACGTTCTTTCTTTTAAATAAAAACCCGTGGCGTCATACAGTCATCCGATTATGTTTACATTGGTTTAACGATGCGCGTGTCATAGCCTATATCATATGGCTTGTTCGCTCGTTTCATTCAGTGTTCCCGCTTGGTAAACCCGGTTTTAAACGGGCAAAGGGGCTGAATATCAACCATTTCTATATATAATAATAATAATATTAAACAATTTGTCTGTGATGCAATTTTGCTATTCGCAGTCCAGAAGAGAGCGATCTCTCACTCGGAGCCACAGCGCGCACAGCACGACAGCCCTGCTTAATGAGTGACAATGAGGACAGAACGTGGTTACCTACACTTTAGATCTGGGATATTATTCTAATTGTATAGATTTCCGCTTTCAAAGATTATAAAAAGAAGATATTTGAGACGAAGCCATTACAGACGCATTCTGTCTAGCGCAACTTTCCCTTCACAGCGTTGCGCTGTCATTTCTTCCTAAAGCCCAAACGTACCGTCAGAATCGGCACGATCGGTGATTGTTGTAAAATGCAGTCTGTACTGTTGCTAAACTGCGGACGCGTTCAATCATTAAAAGAGCTGTTAAAAGCACAAAAGTCTGCGCAAGAGACGCTGTTCACAAAGCGACGCGAGCTCCGAAATGCACTAAAACGAGACAAGAAAACTAGGCTACTATAGCCTCATTTTGGGCTTCATGTGCGCAGCTAAACTATCAAATATACATAAAATATAAAAATGATCTGCTCTGAGATTCATTTAAACACAGTTTATGTCTTAATTGGGCGTAAATAGTTGGGAGAAAATGATGGTGCATCAGTCATCTATTACAGTAGAGTTCTGCATTCGGTCTTAAAGGGGCAGTAGTCTAATAAACATGTGACGATTGAGCCAATGCGAATCAAACAACAAAAGGCAGATAAAAATCACTCACAGCTCTTGAATGAATAACTTAAACTTTAATAAGCATTAATCTAACTATGATAAACTATGCAGTGTCATTTTACATTTGATTACTAATTAAATTTCTTTTCAGACAGAGCAACACACTTAACTGAAAAGTAGCTAATTTTAGACCTTCCTGAAATTAAAGCACTGTGTATATAGGCTAATTTGTATCTAATTTGTAATTGTATTCTTTGTTTGACCATGTGTTTTGTACTTGTTTTTGCTTATCTCATGTATATGCATAACAAATAGATATTTTATTCATTTTGTGACTGGCCTAAAATGTAACCGGTTGTAGGTTGCATTAACACCTAGCGGTGCATGCACAGTTTGAAGACAGTCAGTGACGTCACAATATGCATTTTTTTTTTAAAAATTCACGATCACCATGACCAAAATTGTACTTTTTTTTTTTTACACACTTTTATTTTTACACGTTTTTATTACCTTAGAATGAGACATTTATATCTACACAACCGCGGGCATCAACTTCTATGAAGGTCGACATATTGTGACATCATGTTTCTACCGTAGCCGGCTGTAAGCTAGCTATAGACACCGCGAGTCGTGACTTTTGCCTTGTCAGTGGTGTAAAATATGTAGTTGGACTGTTTCATGTAACTTCGTTCTTCTCGCTCGCTGTGTTATGGCTTTGACAATCAGCTGACCGTGAAACAGTAACGTTACAGGAGTCACCAACCCGCCGATCGCGGTCGACAAGTCTCGAAATGAACCGAGTCCGACTGAAACTGAAGTTGTGCGTGTGATGGTGAGCCGGGACTCACTGGAAGGCGAAGGTGCTGCCGTAGAGCTTCTTAGCGGTGCGAAACCGCGCTTCCTTCGCTGGCGGACTGCTCAACAGCAGGAACTGGTGCGACGTGTGCATGAACTTCAGCTGCTGTACACAGACACGAATGCAGATGAGCAAACACAAGCTTTTCAATGCAAGAAGCTGTTTATAAGTGTTTATCTCACCCTGCTGAGTGGCAGCTTCACAATATGAGAGCGGTTACTGGATATAATCCTGCAGAGACACACAGCGAACACAATAAACACACTTACTGTGGTAAAACCCCTGTAAAAAATGTAAAAAAATGAACTCACCACTGCAGTAGCGGATGAGCCAGAGGATCCAGCTTATCCATCTGCTTCTTAATCTCCAGATACGAGCCCTACATCACACACACAAGTGCAGTTACAGCCAAACAGGGACACTCGGCAAATTAGAATATCCTGCAAAAGTTATTCAACTTAACCCTCGGGTGCTCTTCGTTTCGGAGTCACACTTGTTTTCTTCCCGGTCAAAAGTGACCGGACACCTAAAAACGAAACTTTCTCCATCCCAGTAAAACCAATGCAAATTATTTTTGTTCTATAATATTTATTCTTTTTAATTTAGCATTTTGAGACAATTTCATTGAATTTATTAATATTTATGGTTTATTTTTGCCATGGAAATATCTATATTTTTTTTTCTATATTTAAATAATTTTTTTCAAAAAAATATTAACGCAGTATTTTAGTTTAATATAGAGTCTAGGCCTTCAGAAAAAATTTTTTTTTGAAGAAAATTAGCACCATCTGGTTACAGTATAGAGAAAAGGCGTAGAATCATGGTGTAACCACTAGATGGCATGTACAGCTCTCTAAGGAGAGGCATGTGAATTCCCCAGATGTTTAAGAACAAATTTTTTTGTTTTTGTTTTTTTGTTGGTGGATTTGAATATATAGTTAAAAACCATTTCTTATAAAAAAAAATTGACAAAAAAAAATTTTTTTTTTTTCTTTTTTCCAATTCTCAATCATTTCCTATGGGGGTCATTTTTGACCAAAGACCACAAGTGTGACTATTTTTTTTTAAGACCACTTAGCATTCTCAGATCATGACCTCAATTTTTTTTTTGTGTTCACATACCCAATGCCATAAAAGTCACCAAGTTTCGTAAAATTCTGATGAAGCTGTGATTTTAAAAAATTGAAAACAGAAAATTTTTCGGTCAGAAATGACCGAAGAGCACCAGAGGGTTAAAAGGTGAAACTAATATATTACATAGAATCATTACATGCAAAGTGAGATATTTCATTACATTTGTGATGATTATGGATTACAACTTATGAAAACCCTAAATTCAAAATTAGAATATTGTGAAAAGGTTTCCAAGCCATAATCATCAAAATGATGACAAATAAAGGCTTGAAATATCTCACTTTGCATGTAATGAGTCTATTTTAAGTTGAATAATTGAAATACATTAATTTTTACACGATATTCTAATTTTTGGAGTTTCGCGTGTATATACGTATATATGTATATATATTATGTTGTGGTAAAGATTTGTTTGCAGAGATTTAAGCAGAAATATTATTAAACGTATCTGTTCAACTTTATTTCTGCCGCCGTACCTGCGTCATCTCCCGAATAGACATCACACTGTCTAAAGCTTTCTGCAGACGCTCATAATTCTTCTTCTGTTCGGCACAGGAGCAGCACAATAATCACACACACACACACACACACGCACACAGAGACGCACACACAAGAAAGGAGAGATTTGATGCTGGTTAAACTTGAAGTAAAGTTATTTAATAATTTAAATGCAAACGATTTTTGTCTTATTTTCTATTTTGTCATTTGCATTTTTGAATAAAGCTAGATTTACTTAAGAGGCGAGATATCTTCAGATATTAAAAATGCATTAAAACTAAGAGAGACAAAAAAAACTGTCCATGGGGTCAGATATTTGTCATGTTCTCTTGAGTATAACCCAATTTTAATCATTTGTATTGGAAAACAAGACTCGATCTCTGACTCTTTTGTACTGAAAAAGACAAAAACAAAATGCAAATAAGACATCAGTACATTAACAGTACATCAGCTCGATTATGATGCTTTCAGCCCTGTTGCACTGCACACTAAAGGCTAAAAACAACAACAGTGTTTACAATAACTAGTTAAAATTAATGCATTTACTAACTTGAACAAAACATTGTTCCCGAATGAACAGCAGCTCATGTGAGTGTAAGTCGAGACGGTCACCTTGGGGTTGAAGGCGAGTGTTTTGGGGTCGTTGGGGTCGACCACGGATGGGTACGGCTCGAAGATGATGCTTTTACGGGGCGACTCGAGGGCGGCTCGACACATGGCCACCAGCAGGTCCACCACCTGAACACCAACAGCTCACGTTAGCGGAGCAACGGGTCGCAGATGATCAGATCGGGCCTCACGGTTCGGCGCGCGCGTCATTCTCGGATTAACTGCTAAATTTGACCATCATAGAGTGTAAGTTTACCATTTGGACGTTGTCTTGACTATTTACACATTTAAACTATTGTAAATGCGGAAGAAGAGACGAAAATCGGGACTTGCACGCCATCCGCACATGGAGGGAGAGAGAGAGAGAGAGATAGAAAGAGAGAGATGGTGTGTGTTGACCTTAGTGTGTTTCCCTACTGTCCACCATATGTGTGTGTGTGTGTGTGTAAATGTTAAAACACTGTGGTATCAACTATTCTAATTTGTTACAATGTTAATTTGTACATTTAAATTTAAGTTATGATATAATATTTTATTATTTTGATGTCTTTATAATTATTCTATGTGTTCCAAGCTTTGGTCATATTGTAATATGTACAGTCATGCCAATAGAGCAATTTTGAATTGAGCAAAATTGATTGAATTGAATTCGCGTTTTCTTGCCCTTGAACAGGCACCCACACACACTTGTGTCTAAAGGCCCGTCTCAGCAAGTGTTCTCTCGCTTCTGTCATGAATGAACAGTTCAGAGAAAGAAAGCGGATGTTTGTCAGTTTATTCGGTCTTAAAGTGACAGTAGCCTAATATTCCTGCTGTCGTCTGTCATTAATGTTAATAAAGCAACTGAATACAGCTTTAACAAAGAGGAACATGTTTAATTCTACAGTGAACAAATAGTGTTGTTTTACATTTAGGCCTAATTATTAAATTCTGTACCTGAAAACTACAGTTAGACTTTGTTATTTATCCTTCCTCTCTGCTTATAATCCGTGTATTTGTTCTTATTTTGTTACTGACTGTTCACTAGTCTGTAATGTTTGAACTTTATCGGCTAGTAGTTTTTGCTGTGGTCTCGAAGAACTTCAAGCGAGCTTCAAGTAATAAATGAAAAGCAACCGAGACTCAAAAAAATGTAAATTAGCCGAACCGTGAGTTTTGTGATCCGTTGCACCACTATTCAATATCATTTAGAGAAATGAACCCAGAATGCACCTCAGCGCCAGTGGCCACCTCCTCCGCCGCTCCAGACATCACACCCAGTGTGTAGAAGGAGAACACACACAGCTCTCGCGTGCACACCGCGGGCTGGCGGGGAAAACAACCAATCATGAGCCACACTGCATAAACACACTACAATTTTGCTTCTCAAGTAAATGCATCTTGATTTCCGGTGCACTTCATGTGACGGTCAAACATTTTATTTCAATCAAATGAATGTACTATATTTTAGTTATATAATGCAAATGTTATTTTGCATTTTTAGGGGATTTTATTGCACCAAATTATATTTACGTTGTATTTATAATCCATTTATTCACTTTTTGAGCATTGACCTGGAAATATAATATCCAACTTGAACTGTCGTAAATCGAGACATCAGAAAATAATCGACACAAACATTGAGAAGGAACTCCAAATCAGAAACCCTAAAGGAGAAAAAGAAATTTATCACCAATTTATCAACATGATCCGTCACACCTGATCAAATACGACTCATTAACCCAAACATCCAATAAACGGAGAGGAAAAAATATACTGTACAAAATAGCCAGCCATTTATGAAAATAAAGTAAACAGAAAAATACAAAATTGTGACCAACATAACAGAAAAAAAACAGAGAATCAACACAAATGTATAGACCATTTTGCAAGATGTAAACAACAACACTGGTCCAGAAGCACTTCCTGTTTCAGTTTTTTAACACTACATAAAAGCTGGGATAAAATACAACCAACAGAACATATAAAACTGAATCAAAAAGTTAAACAAACATCTTTAAGATGTTTTCTTTACATGTTGTGAAATAAAGAAAACAGTTACAAACTGAAACAGGAAGTGTTTCTGGACCAGTGTTGTTTACATCTTGTGAAATGGTCTATACAGAAAAGAATTTAAATCTAATAAAATTATTTGAAAATAATATAAATCTATACAGAAAATAACTACACATAGGGATTTTTTTTGTATAGATTGATAAATAATTTTCAGTATAGATTTTAATTATTTTCAAACAATTTTATTGGATTTCAATTCTTTTCTGTATACATTTTTGTTGATTCTCTGTTTTCTTCTGTTATGTTAGTCACAATTTTGTATTTTTTTGTTTACTTTATTTTCATATATGAAAATGGCTATTTTGTATATTTTTTCTCCCCATTTATTGGATGATTGAGTTAATGAGTCATATAATGAGTCGTTTTTATGCCTGACTGAGACCTTTTGTTCATTCTGAAATGTTTGTAGGAAAACAGGCCTGAGTAAAGTAAACACTGATCATTCTTGCAGTGTGATTCACCTTCAGCATGGATCCGTTCTGAAAGACGTGCTGCTCGTCACACACCACGCAGTATTCGTTCAGGGTGGGGATCCGCTGCTCAGAGTATTTCATTATCTTACAGAGAAAAGAGAGGACACAATCAGAAGAGGAGGCGCTGAGCGGATGCCATCCACCGTCAGAGGAGAAATCGTGAGTGTGTTGCGTACTATGGCTCGGTAATGAGCCAAAAATATAAACTGAAACTGCATTACGACACATGCATTTTTATTCTGCTGCGTTGTTGAATTGTGTTAATCCAAAACAGCTAATTTCTTGTTAATTATCATTCCAATTCTAGATGCTGATGATACATAAAACACACAGTACCACAGTTCGACAGATCGGAGTCGGTAAGATTCGTTAAGAAATGTCACCAAAGCAACATTAATACAGGTGAAACTGGAAAAAATGTAACATTGTGCAAAAGTTTAGTAATTCAACTTAAAAAAAGATGAAACTAAAGGTAATACATCCGTGATGAATAAAAATCAAAAATCAAAAATCCTCCCGAGCCCAAACAGCAATGATGCGAACCGTCTGTCTCACACAAGCACATTTGAATGAATGTGAATGTGTATTAAATGTAGCTGCGCTGTTATATAAAGCTATATTGTGAATGCTACTGAAACATGCTTTAGCCGTTAGCATTCTCTATAGCATGACCTCTTGAACCTTATTGCGGCGATAAATACAGTAGTTCATTAACAACATTACAGTTGCACGTCACTCCACCAGGCTCCTTATGACCTCATAACTGCAGGTTTAGGCACAATACTTTATATGTAGCAAACAGAGATTTGATTTGAGATAATGAATCATGATGATGGATTATTTTCCATGTGTTTATCTGAACATCGTTGATGGCATGAGGGTGATTAAAAGGTGAACTGTCTCTTTAAAGGAGTAGTTCACTTTTGAAAAAACTTTTGCTGATAATTTACTCACCCCCGTGTCATCTAAGATGTCCATGTCTTTCTTTCCTCAGTCGAAAAGAAATTAAGGTTTTTGATGAAAACATTCCAGGATTTTTCTCCATATAATGGACTTCAATGGGGTCCAAACGGTTCAAGGTCCAAAAAACAGTTAATAACAGTTTCAGATGCAGCTTTAAACGACACCAGACGATGAATAAGGATCTTATCATGCGAAACGATCGGTTATTTCAAAACTTATTCCAAAAATGTAACTTTTCTAAGGACAAATGCTAGCCTTGCTCTATTCTGTGAGGCGCGTTTGCAACGTCACGTAATACGTAATTACGTTCAAAAGGTCACGGGCGACGTAGCCGGAAGTACAGAATCAAAATCGTCAGACATCGTCGTTTTACCTTTTAATTCCTTTTATTGTAAACGGCGTTTGAGTTAGTTTGCACGAGTTAGTTAACTGTCGTTTGGACCTTGGATCGTTTGGTCCCCATTGAAGTCCATTATATGGAGAAAATCCTGGAATGTTTTCATCAAAAACCTTAATTTCTTTTCCACTGAAGAAAGAAAGACATGGACATCTTGGATGACACGAGGGTGAGTAAATTATCAGCAAAAGTTTCTTCAAAAGTGAACTACTCCTTTAAGAGAGGATTTTAAGAATGAAAACCTGGAAATGTCTTGAGATGTACACACACATGTATAAATGACTCTTCAATAATAATGCACATTCAAGTTGCATTGCTATGGAAGCTTGTTTCCGCCACAGAATGAAAAATAATAATAAAAGCTAGGCTATAATTAAAGGTAATTGTGACTTTTATCTTACAGTTCTGACTTTATTTCTCAGAATTGCGTGAAATAAAGTCGCAATTGCGTGTTATAATGTCAGAATTATGAGATATAAACTTATTTAAAATATATGAAGAGTTCAGATGCAAAAGCCTCTAAATGCCATTTGAAATTTTCTTCTAGAATGACCATTTTTATCAAGCTTGTATATTTAAGTTCAGTGATTTCACTTAAATGGCAATGATTACCTATTAATTGTTATTTAAGTGAAATTACTGAACTTAAATATACAAGTTTGATAAAAATCATCATTAAAGAAGAACATTTCAAATGGCATTTAGAGGCTTTTGCATCTGAACTCTTCACATGCTTTTCAGATTTTTCCTCTCAAAATTGCATGTTTATATCGCGCAATTATGACTTTATAACACTTAATTCTGAATTTTGAGATGCGAACTCGCAATTGTGATATAAAAAGTCACAATTATCTTTTAAAATGTTTCGTTCTGTGGCGGAAACGAGCTTCCATACACTGCAGACTGTTGCTTTACTTGTTTTTTATTTCCCTAAGAAGCTGCACTCGACATGCATGCATGATTCGACGTACACCGAGCATGATGGGAAACGATGACGTCATGCGTGCCGGCTGGTGTGTGCGAGACGAGTACCTGCACGAGGAAGCCGTACTCCAGCGTTGGGATGTTCTTGCAGTGCCCGCCCGCCTGGGATGAGAAAAACAACTCAATCAGCTGGCGGGTGGTAATCTGCGCAGGGGCCCTGCCCGCCGGGACAGCCACAGTCTGATGGGTTAACGGAGACAAAGCATTATGGGAAAGGTGCCAGCCAGCCGTGTTAGGCGAGGGGGGGTTCGAAGGGCAAAGAGGCTGGGGGTTGTGATGGGAGACTGATCCTACGAGAGGAATCTGCAGCCATGTTTTATCTCTCACGTGGAGTCCCTAACGAGCCACTGAGGGGTCACGGGGTCACGGGTATGGAGAAGCGGGAAAGAGAGTGATTCGAAAGGAAAACGTGCAGTCGGGAAGACGAGATGCTGACCTGGCTGTTGGGAGGATAGCTGAACAACTCGCCCTTGGGGTTCTTCATGGTACAGGAGATGGAGCGGTTCATGAGCCGGGTGACTCTCAGCTCCGGCACGCTCAGTTTGCCTTTCAACACTGTGTCCTGGATCAGGGGGAAACTGGGAGACCTGGAGCCAAGATGGAGGCCACAGCCAGCGGATGAGTTCATGCTGCGCTCACGTCAGCTTGGAATTACCTCAAGTATGATTTCTGACTAGCCAAATGCACAATTCTGTTCGTAATGCTAATAACTAGCCAGTGAGACCTTCAAGAGCAAAGAATTGATCAAGCATTGATGTATTTTACTGTCATTGGTCCGTGTACATTTGTTTTTTTTTATTTAATATTGAAAGTATAAAAATGAGAAAACAGTTTCGTTTTTCAATAAAAAATAGATAAAAGTAAAATAATAAAATATAAAATAATAAAAAAAGATTTTTCGTTTTAATAAAACACAAGGCTTACATCATAAAACTCAGAAGAGTGGCTTATGTATTTTAATATCTTCTCAGATTAATAGGCCTATTATTATATACACAAGTCAAAGCATTATTCTTTCCTTTATGTAATGGGGTTTCAAAAACTCATTATATTGATTTATATCTTAAATTATATTCATATTATTTCCACCTGAGAATGAAAAACGAAAAATCAAGCTGAATACTCGTTTTTCTACTTTCAATATTGAATAATAAAAAAACGAATTAGCATCGGCAACGAACACACATTTATCCATTTTGAAAGTATGAACAGTGCTGGGAATTTTATATTTTAGTTCATTACTGAATATGAATCACATGGCAAAACTGTATTTAGGCAATATAATTTTGATTACTTTATTACTTTTAACCCTTAATTAGTTTATCACAGATAATTGTGTATTGTAGTGATATAAAAATACACTGATAAAAGGTAAACTTTTTACTTTTTAAAATAAAACAAAACAAAATAAAGCACAAATTGATTCAATATTTAATTTGTTATACTGTGTGGCCGCTGATTTGTGTAATTACAGATTAAAAAAAGAAAGAATTAGTGAGAACCGATACATTTTGATTAATTTACTGCCATTGTGTGAATATTAAGTAATCATGTAATCAATGAAAATGTAACTGCAGTCTGATTAGTATTTTAAAATGTAATATAATTACAAGTTTATGATTATTAGAATCTGATTACATATAATAAGCAATGATTAATAAAAACTAGGTGAAACTCGAAAAATGAGTATATCGTGCAAAAGTTCATTTATTTCAGTAATTCAACCTAAAAGGTAAAACTAATATATTATATAGACTCATTACATGCAAAGTGAGAGATTTCAAGCCTTTATTTGTTATAATTGTGATAATAATTTGGTTTTCATAAGCTGCAAGCCATAATCATCACAATTATAATAAATAAAGGCAATCTCACCATGACGTGAACGCAACATTAATGTATTTTATATGCGAGTATGTTACTGTACCGTGTTTAGCTGAGCATTGAAATAAACAAAAGTAAACATTTCAAGCGGCAAAACTTTCTTCATGAAAGGAGTTTTAGATTGTTTCATAAATGATGTATATATATATATACCGCCGGTCACTGTTGAGCCCTATTTCAGCAGCATCAACCATGATCTGTTGTTTCAGATTGTTAGCGTACATGACGTGGGTTTTCACAGCAAACGTTGAGGACATACTTCGGTATCGGCGAGAAGATGCTCAATCCTGCACGAAATTTCTTGATGGTTCCTCCGGCTTTGAACCAGCTGTGGCGTTTCTCCTGCTGGGCTTTGAGGAACTCGTTACTGAGATGCTTCCACTGCTGAGACGTGAACGTGCTGAGGATCCTGGAAACATGAGGACAAGCTTCATGAACACAAACACATCTCTTTGGCCTAGCATACACATGATAAAACCAAACCAATCTCTGCTACCTTAAAGGAGTAGTTTTAAAAAACTTTTGCTGATAATTTACTCACCCCCATGTCATCCAAGATGTCCACGTCTTTCTTTCTTCAGTTGAAAAGTAAAAAAGGTTTTTGATGAAAACGCTCCAGGATTTTCTCCATATAATGGACTTCAATGGGGTCCAAACGGTTTAAGGTCCAAATGAGAGTTTCAGTGCAGCTTCAAAGGGCTTTAAACGACACCAGACGATGAATAAGGGTCTTATCAATGACCCTCGAGTCATGACTCAAAAAAAGATGTTCATTTCGAACAGGAGAGTCACGAAAGCACATCACAGAACAGAGCAAGGTGAGCATTTGAGCTTATAAAACTTAAACTTTGTTATTTTTTTTTAATTAAATGAGCGATCGTTTCGCTTGATAAGACCCTTATTCATCGTCTGGAATCGTTTAAAGCCCATTGAAGCTGCACTGAAACTCTCATTTGGACCTTGAAGCGTTTGGACCCCATTGAAGTCCATTATATGGAGAAAATCCTGGAATGTTTTCATCAAAAACCTTAATTTCTTTTCGACTGAAGAAAGAAAGACATGGACATCTTGGATGACACGGGGGCGAGTAAATTATCAGCAAAAGTTTTTTTTAAAAGTGAACTACTCCTTTAAAATTATGTTTATCTCTGTAAAGCTGCTTTGAAATAATCTACATTGATAAAAGCGCTATATAAAGGAGGTTGACTTGACTCGATCTTCAAACATTACAGCTTCGGCTAAATCAGTCAGATCACTTCACTTCGCATAAAAGCCTCTTCCAAATGCATAATTGTAGGGATTAATTGCATCCAAAATAATACGGTGTATAATTATTTTGTATATATAAATACACACACATGCATCTATATACAATATATAAGAAATATTTGCATGTATATCTATTATGTACACACACATCTATTATGTAAACACAAACTATTATTTTGGATGCGATTAATCGTTTCATAGCTTACATTGCATCCTCATGAAATTATGGGAATATTGTGTTTAAACTTTACCTTATGTAAACACAATATTTCAATCAAATGTATGCAATTAAGCTCATAATCATAGCAACCATAATCATTTGCTTATAATCGCAATAAACACTTTAATCACATCTATTCTACTCTAAACAAAGTGTGCATGTGATATCGATGATGTTTTTTAATTATTGTTATTATTTTTTTCTTGTTGTATATTATGGTCCTGTGCTTGTTTTAATGTAAATGTTTCTAAAATCAATAAAAAAAAAAATTGTGCATGTGCATTTTTGGGTGATGAAGAAACTGAAACGTTGCACAACATTAATATAATGCAGTATAGCCAAGTGATGGTTAAAGATATTTTAATAGAGATATCTTAGTGGCGAACAAATCTATGAGCATCATTATGTGAATAATGGTGGTAAAAATAATCCCAATTCTTAGAGAATAGTCAGAATAATGCAGATTGCATGTAAACTTATTCTGATATTTATTCAAACGTAGTTATACTTGACTTACTTCTTTAGTTGAAGGCCCAAACTGAATCCTTCTTTATTAGACGGCTGAAACACCTCCACAGACGGCTCTGCGGGAGTTAAGAGAACATGTAAGAACCGTCACACACACACACACACACACAGAGAAGTGCACGTTTCTTACCTGGTCCATCCAGATACTGTGAAAGAGAGAAACGAAGGCGTAAGACGATGGGCTCCGTTCGGATCACCTTCCACGCGGTCGCCACCTCCTCCTACAAACACGCAAATCATTTTATTCCCATCACAAGATCTGTGTGTAAAGCCGAGTAGGTGGTGTGGGAAGTGTGTGTTCTCACATCCAAGAAGCTGATGTTGATTTGCAGGTCGATGTCCACATCGTCAATCGTGCCGTACTCCCTGTGGGAAGAGAAACACGCTAGTCGAGCAACGGATCACGAAACTCACGGATCATTAATACGGTTTATCATTTTTAAAATCAGCAAAACAATAATTATATATATATATTATTAGAGACAAGTGAACAGTGTAATAAAATTATAACAAATACACAAATTATAAGCAGAGAGGAATACTAAATAAGAAAGTCTAACTGTAGTATTGAGGTACAGAATTTAATAATTAGGCCTAAATGTAAAATAACACTGTTTGTTCACTGTAGAATTACACATGTTCCTCTTTGTTAAAGCGTTTGAATGTGTAAATTGGCAACACAAAACACGTCCAAATTATAAACTTACACTCTATGATGGTCAAATTTAGCAGTTACTGAACCGAACCGTGAGGTTCACGAATGAAAGTGAATCAGGTGTGAATGCTCAGATGTGAATCAGGGTGAGTTCTTCTTACCTGACGGACACAGCGCCGTCCGTGTAAATGTCTTTCACAGCCTCGATGTCTGCGTCCAGCTGCGGGTGGCGGTACAGGTCTGCGGCACAGCTCCCCTACAGGTGCACACATCTGAATCTGTACTTATGACTTTATATCTCACAATTATGACTTTAAAACACGCAATTATGACTTTATATCTCACAATTCTGACTTTATATCTCACAATTCTGACTTTATATCTCAAAATTATGACTTTATATCTCACAATTATGAATTTATAGTTCACAATCATGACTTTATAACACACAATTATGACTTTATAACTCACAATTATGACTATATCTGACAATTCTGACTTTATATCTCACAATTCTGACTTTATAACACGCAATTCTAACTTTATATCTCACAATTCTGACTTTATATCTCAAAATTATGACTTTATATCTCACAATTATGAATTTATAGTTCACAATCATGACTTTATAACACACAATTCTAACTTTATATCTCACAATTATGACTTTATATCTCACAATTCTAACTTTATATCTCACAATTATGACTTTATATCTCACAATTATGACTTTATATCACACAATTATGACTTTATAACTGAAAATTATGAGTTTTTAAAAGAAGTCTCTTCTGCTCACCAATGCTGCATTTATTTGATTAAAAATTAAAAAAAAAACTAATATTGTGAAATATTTTTGCAATTTAAATTATCTGTTTTCTATGTGAATATACAGGTAAAATGCAATTTATTCCTGTGATCAAAGCTGTATTTCAGTGTCACTTCATCCTTCAGAAATCATATGATGATCTGATGCTCAAGAAACATTTATTTATTATTAACGTTGAAAACTGGTATTTACTAGCCTGGCCACGAAACGTGGTCTGGAAACTACATGTTAAATTTCTCGTATTTCAGGCGTGGTTTATGAATGCCCAGAGCCGTGTTATAGGGTGTTACGAATGTCTATCAAATGCGCCTGTGCTCCCTCCTCGTTCTGTGATTGGTTCCCTATTTCAGGGGAAATTTGGTTCATGGTATCCAGACTGCCTAGCAGTGCGAATAAAATCATGCTGCATCAAGGCAAAATGGGGAAACCCAGGCTAGGTGTTTACATTTCTATTTCAGGATTCTTTGATGAATAGAAAGCTCAAAAGAACAGCATTTCTCTGTAATAGGAAACATTTGACCCGCCATGTATTTGCTTGTCATTTATTGAGATGCTCATTAAAATCCAGTTGGAAATATTTATAATTTATTATTTTTCACATGAAGATAAATCCAATCCAATCCAACCTTATTTGTTAGACAACCAAAGTTGGCCAAAGTGCTGTACAGAAAAAATAATCACATAAGCCACTAAAGACAAGACCTTTCCTGCCTTATGATAAAGCATTAAATTAGTCACATATAATAAAGACAAGAGAACAGAATGGTAAGGAGAATGTGTTTTACCTGAATGCCGTACAGGAACTGCTCCGGTTCATTCTCTCCATCCGATTCTTCATCCGTCCAGCACTGGGTTTTAATATCCTGAAAACACACATGGCCATTTTAGCATTATTATATAGTATTATAGTATTTTGAATTAGCTTTTATTTTTATATATCTGTTTAAATTTTAGTTGTAAAATGCACAAGAATCTGTGATTTGTTCATTCTCTCTAATCTTTATTTAACTGACAAAGGTACAAAGAAAGGATTCTCGATGTTTTTTTTTTTTTTATAATATTTTGTAAACATTAACAAATTTTGATTTTGAATAAAATAGATATTATTATTATTATTATTAAATGGATAAAATAGAAAGAAACTCAAAACAATAATACATCCAAATCAATACACAGAAATTATTTAACTTATAAATGTCATTTCGGTTCTTTGCCACTGTTGCCTTTGGCTTGCTCAGTTGGGGATATTCAAATTAAATGACCCATCATACCATTGACCAGCTCTTAATAAACAAACACTGTTAAGTTGTTTTGATTGACTCTGTGAAGCAGCTTTGATAGAATCTGTATTGTAAAAAGCGCTATAGAAATATATTTGACTTGCCTTGACTTGATAATTGTGAGATATAAAGTAAGAATTGTAAGATATTAAGTCAGAATTGCGTGTTATAAAGTCATAATTGTGAAATATAAAGTCAGAATTGCCTTTGACTTAATAACACACAATTCTGACTTTATATCTGCAATTGTGAGATAAAAAGTCGCAATTATCTTTTTAAATGTTGTGGCTTCCGTAGTTGATTGACTAGCAGGTGTAGCAGAGAAACACAGGCCGTGTGTGACGGTGTAATGAAGCGCAAACACTCACCATTGGCTCCGGTGTTCACAGACACGTTTCCGACAGGACGAAGCTTTTCTGATCCATTTCAGCACGAACGGCAAAACAACAGGTGGAAAGATGAGCTGCTCACTTCCTGCGAGGGGGAAATAAACACGACACTTTAATAACCACAGTCACCAGAAGCTTGTTTCCGACACAGAATAAAACATTTTAAAAGATAATTGCAACTTTTTAACTCACAATTGCGAGTTTACATCTCAGAATTGTGTGTTATAAAGTCAGAATTGCTATAATTCTAAATATTTCTTTATATATCTCACATCTGACATCTTTTCTTAGAATTGTGAGATATAAACTTGCAATTGCGAGTTATAAAGTCCAATTGTACGTAAAAACTGACAAAAATAGTTTCTCACAATTCTGACTTTACAACACGCAATTGCTACTTTATATCTAACAATTGTGAGATTAAAAAATCAGAATTGTGACATAAAAAAATAATTACTTTTTTTCTTTTTTAATCCGTGGCGAAAACAAGCTTCCATAGATTTAGGCATCTCAATGGATTGAATATAATAAATGCTAAAGATCACAATGCAAAATATCTGTACTAATAATAAGCAAAGCTGCAGGGTCAAGCATCCACCTGAGGGACGATAAAACAGGTGAGAAACTCGCACAGACAGACACTGAAGGTCATACCTGAGCCACACCGAATAAAACATGCTGTAGAATATATATATACTATGATCAATTACTAATCAATTTTAACCTCAGCTAAATAATTGCCCAAATAATCACACAGAAATGGCACGTAACACAGAATTAAACATGCAGTAGTAAGACTGTAAAACATAGCCTACTCTAGAAATCTAACTCTTTTTAGACAGTAACAAACATCATCCAGAGTAGCTAGTGCTAGCAAACGCATAGCAATGTAAACAACAACATGCTCATAATGCTAACTACTGCAACACCGCAGAAACCGCGACCCTTCATACAAACATCAGCGACATTTCCCTCAAACGAAACAAATCTGGCGTCATATGTGTGTGTGTGTGTGTGTGTGGATGACAGCCTGAAGATACAGAAGCTGATCTCGTTCTCTCTGGTTTTACCTCAGCGAAGCCGTTCACAATAGCGCTGTTCTCCTCTCCTCCATCTCGCCACTGGGTATCCTAGCAACAACTCGTTCTGTCGGTGTCACGGATTCGTGTGTGTGTGTGTGTGAGAGAGAGAGAGAGAGAGAGAGAGAGAGAGAGAGAGAGAGAGAGAGAGAGAGAGAGAGAGAGAGAGAGAGAGAGAGAGAGAGAGAGAGTGTGTGCGAGCGTGTGTGTGTGCGACATAGAGAGAGAGGGAGAGAGAGTGAGTGAGAGTGAGAGAGAGATGTTAATGATAATGTTCAATATTTTTTTTTTATGTATATATATATATATATATATATATATATATATATGATTTCTAAATCCATTTTATTTTATTTATTAATCTGTTCATTTTATTATTATTGTTTTATGATATCAGTTTTAATATTTTGTGTACTAAATGTTCCAAATAATTTTCTATGTTGTTTTGACGCTTTGGCAATACAAAATGTATTTTTTGTCATGCCAATAAAGCTTTCTGAATTGAATTGAAAAATTGAGAGAGAGAGAGAGAGAGAGAGAGAGAGAGAGAGAGAGAGAGAGAGAGAGAGAGAGAGAGAGAGAGGGAGAGAGAGAGAGAGAGAGAGAGAGAGAGAGAGAGAGAGAGAGAGAGAGAGAGAGAGAGAGAGAGAGGGAGAGAGAGAATGCGCGTGTGTGTGTGGGCACAAATTTATAGAAGCAATTTCCCAAGTAGTCTTCTGTATAAGTCGTATATGACAACAAACCAATCATAAACATGTTCAGTTCGTATTTCTTACCAGGTTAAAAAAAAAAATAATATATATATATATACAGTATATATATATATATATATATATATGAAAATGTGGGGTCCCTTTCTTTCTCAAATTGAGAAAGCAATATAAAAAGTGAGGTTTATATATATATATATATAAAGAAACTATTCCTACTATGTCCTTTACCTCTGTGTAAACTTACTAGTCCTGTTAAGTCTAAACATTGTTTATTTATTGTCTTCTCTGAGATCTAACTTGCTATGTGTAATTGTTATTTACTTTCCCTTTTATCTGTGCTATTCTGTTTTTTTATTTATTTATTTTTTATTTACTATTATTATTTAATTTATTTATTATTATTATTTATTTATTTTTTTTCCTCGGAGGGGGATTGCATTATGGGGATAAAGGGGAGAAAAAAAAAGAAGGAACTAAAATGTCATTGATGTTCACTGATGCTTATGACTGATGTTCATGTTCAATAAAAAGCAAAAAAAAATAAAAAATAATATATATGTATGTATGTGTGTATATATATATACATATATATATATATGTAATTTTAACCTGGTGCTATACACTGCCTTTATAAGTGCATTTACTGCATTTATGACCATATCATATATATATATATATATATATATATATGATATGGTCATAAATGCAGTAAATGCACTTATAAAGGCAGTGTATAGCACCAGGTATATATATATATATAAATTACATCTAACATAAAAGTCTGTGAATATTTGTTTATATAATATAATGTGTGTGTGTGTATACATATGTACATACACACAAACATAAATTATATTTTATTTTTACGTATGTGTGTTTGTGTGTAGATACACACACACACACACACACACACATATATACATATATTATATAAACAAACTTTTTTTGATGCGATTAATCGATTTTACAGCACTAATATATTTAAACGAAATACATCTGGATGCATTACGGTAATGATGAAATAAAGCCTCAAACCAAAAAATCTTAATGGGCAATGGCATGTTTTGATGATGTACATGGACATATTCCCATTTCTTCCTGAACTACAACAAACTGTGCATGTTCACTTAAACACAGAAATATAAGCGTACGAGTATAAACATTAGATAAAACAGAAGTAAAGAGTTTCAGAAAAACAGCACAGGTGACATCCGAACATAAAACACACGTCAGGGTAATCTACAAATGTCTGTGATTTCTCTTTCTTTCCTTGGAAAAACAGCCATTTTGTTTATATGAGAGTGCGTGTCTCTCGCCGCCTCTATCTATATCAGTGTAATACAGTCTCACATAGATCAAACCTGCATTAAAGTAATCAAATGATTTTTAATGGCTGATGCAAATCCTAATATAGTGCTTTTAATGACAACAAATGAGATGCACACAAATCCCTGGATTTAATGTATTCTGCATGTTTTTTCACCGAAAACCCAAAATGTGAATTTCAGGACAATCACTGGATGGAATAACCCGTGCATTATGGCCGATATAATCATCACATTTGCTTGAATAATGTCACAGACACCACCCATCTGAACAAATCCCCCAGTGTGTCCTTAAACAGCCCACACACACACACACACACCCATAATGCCCTGCTGGAGTCAAACACATACCGATGCAGCTCATGATGGAAAAAGCACAGACGGAGGTCCGGTCAGCATCCACAACACACACACACACACACACACATCCATCCCTACCTCCACCTTCAGAGCCCGCCGGCTCCTTCTCCTCCAACACGACACCGTGACGCAAATGAGCCGATGGACGAACCATGTAACACACCTGAGCACTAGCAGCCGTCCGGCCGTGTGTTTATCTGGTGCAGATCTCTGCTTCCAGGGCTCTCTTATTTTTGCCTGACAACACAATGAACTGAGCATGCTCAGTGAGAGCCAGCAGAGTGAGTCATGTGACCTACAGCTGACGAGAGAGAGAGAGAGAATGAAGGAGAGAAACATAATCCACATTTTCATAGATTGACAGAAAAAGATCAAACTCACCAAGTACAAGAACGACCTGAGCAATTCTGAAATCTTTTAATCTTCTATAATCGAATATGCATCTGATCTGACTAGATATATTTAAAATAATGTAGGCCACTTTTAACACAAATATTGCATTATAATAGGCTACATTATATTCAACATTATATATATCAGAAGGGTAATGTAGTACTGACACTAAAAATCTGTGAACTCACACATAATTTTAATTTTGGATGAACTATCCACTTTGCATTTTTCTATTGTGATATATTGTTGCCGAAATTGTAATGAAGTACTTTGAACTGTGAGAAACAGAAAGATATATATATATATATATATATATATATATATATATGAATTAATTATTAGTTATAAAAAAATATAAATTAGTAATCAACACCATTTTAAATATTAATTTAAAAAAAAACTAAATTAAATGAATATGTGCCCAAATGCCTGGAGCTCGTCTTATTATTCATCCGTGTGAACCAGGTGTAATATTTCATTGGAATATTTGCAGGTGTATAAAATTTAACATATAAATAAATGTTATATATAAAAATAAATAGTATATACTGACACCCATACAAGCAGACACACATTATTAATATTTTTTATAATATTAATAAATAATTAAAATATGTATTTTATGTGTTAATTATTGTACTTGTTTTGTGATTGCATTGGTATTAATATTATTAATAATGTTTAATAGCTATTATTAATGAGTGTCTGCTTTTATGGGTGTAAGTATATAATATTTATTCATATATTATTCTAGATTTATACACCTGCAAATATTCCAATGAAATATTACACCTGGTTCACACTGATGAATAATAAGACGTTATTTAAGTTAGTTTTTAAAATTAATATTCAAATTGTTATTTTAATTAATTACTATTTATATTATTCATTTCTATGGCATATTTTTTAAATAAAAATAGTACTAGTTTATTATCATTATTTGTGAGGATGAGCGCATGATTTCGGCGGTCCGCAGGCGGTGTGGACCCGCTTCTTCCCGGCCTCGGCTGAGATCCGGCGGCTGCTGTCCCGGGACGAGCTGGGCGAGGTGAAGCTGGTGCGGGCAGATTTCGGGGCGTCCCTCATGCACGTGTCTCGGGCCGTGGAGAAGGATCTGGGAGGAGGAGCTCTGATCGACATCGGCATCTACTGTCTGCAGTTTGTGCTCATGGTGTTCAACGGAGAGAAGCCGGAGCGCACACGATCTCACCCGAGGTCGTGTAAATATCTGATCATGTGTTACTGTAACTGCTGTCATATTCTGGCAAAAAATATTGTTGTACCGTTGAAACTAAATCACACACACCCAAACATCTCGTGATCGGGATTCAGATTATTCACATTTACATTCCTTCATTTGGCAGATGCTTTTATTCAAAGTGACTTTGATTGAGTCTGATGCAGGCCTGCAGCATACATTACTTTTTAATGATAATACTTTTAATTCATTTGTATAGCACCCTTCATACATAAAATCAATCTCAATGTGCTCTAAAACAACATTTAAAGCAACAGTATGTAACTTTATTGGCCACAAGAGGGCGCCGTTTCCAACAATAACAAAGGCGTATGTGACGAGCTGAATGATGGGACTTGCTGTCAAGCTGATGGATCTAATAATGTTTAAGGATTAGTGAAAATACTCATGTTTTCTAACATTACAGTGGTATGAAGCAGGTCGCGATTGCTAATATACATATATCACACGCGACTCCCGCGGATATACAGGAATAAGGAAATTTCATCCTATTAAACTACATGCTGGATTACTCACACAGGTCCGTTTATTAGATGAATTAAACTTGTGAGGGAAACGCAGCGCTGTTCCACTTGCTATAACGTTCCACTATCACACTAAATGGCATTGAAATGTGTGTTGAAAGTTATAATGTTATTCTACGTGTTAGTTAGTTTGCTATACGAAACTAGCAGCTAGATCAACATACGAATAACATACTGACCATATTCTAACATTTCATCATGTCAAGCTAACGTTATAACATTGATTTGTTTTATGTACATTTGCTCACCTGTCTAATAAAGCTGTAAAGTCGTGACTCGTGAAGTTCTGTCAAGTCCAAATTAGTCACGGACGCTAGCTCTCTGTCGAGTGGACGCTAGCTCTCGGCATCACAAAAACATCACGCTGATATTGATCCTCATTATAGTTCTCCTTGTTTGTCCCAAAGTCTGCTTGCCATGGTGTATGTTTCAACGAAACAAGAACTGGGTGCCGCTAAACGTTACTCACTACGCAGTTGTCCACGTCTGTCGCCATGGTTACGTCATGGCTATGGCAGTACGAGCGAACCGCGGATTGCGTCATTGACGGGCGACATTTTTTCCGGGACGGCCACTTATTTAAAATGGGAATTTCTCTGAAATAAAAGAACTTTGGAAACTTTTGGGATATTGTAAGTACACAACTGCAGGAAATATATCACACTGTGCAAGTGATTTTTGGATATTTTATTACAAAAATATTTATTTTATTTATTATTTTTTAAATTTTATTACAAAATCCTTACATATTGGAAACAATAGCATTGGGAGAAATATAAATGAACAAAATTATGAACGCAACAGTTTTTTTGCCCCCATTTTTCATGAGCTAAACTTTTTCTATGCACCCAAAATGTCTGTTTCTCCCAAATATTGTTCACAAATCTGTCTAAACATAGCTTGTTAGTTAATTCACTTAGTAACAACCATAACCTAACAGGACCTTATTGTAAAGTGTTAAGTGTAAAATTAATGTTAAAGATTTCCCAATTATTATTATCATCATTTTCCCATGTCTTGCAGGTCTGAAGGAGAGTTCCTGCATGTCTCTCGCAGACTCGGCTCTGCTGATGGAGATCATGGATGAAGCCAGGAGACAGGTGGGCGTGGTCTACAGCCAGGACAGCCAATGAGCTGCCTCCACCAGCACTGCTCATTAAAATAGGGGCTTTTTTTCTTTTGTTCAACCACAAAATAAACTCGTACGTGTTTTACTGTTGATATGTGTCTTTCTGTTTGTATTTATCTGGATGTGATGGTTTTAGGTTATCCATTTCTTGGTAACACTTTACAATAAGGTTCATTAGTTAACTACATTAATTAGCATGAACTAATAATGAACTGCACTTCTACAACATTTATGAATCTTTGTTAATGTTAATTTCAACATTCACCAATACTTTTGATATTGTTAAGATAACTAACATGAACAACAAATGACTATTTTGTTTAATGTTAACAAAGATTAATACAATAATATAACAAATGTATTTCTCAAGGTGTTACCGATTTCTCCACAATAATCTAAAAACAGGCGACTTTCTCATGATATATTTTATTTTTTAAAGTCCTGATTTATTTAATTAAACTATAAAGATAAAGAATTGCATTTTCTTGTTAACTTTCATCGAGGTGGAGTTGTGCAGTTCATTGTTGTTTTGCCACTTGACCCTTTTATTAGTGAACTTTGCACTTTAGCGTTGCACAAGGCTTTGTTTATAGGGCTGGACAGACACTTTTTTGTTATGTAACCTTGTGCAGAAACACAACGGCAGTCAATTTGAGGCTTATAATTGAGTATTTAGACCATTTTCTGTCTAAATCCTGCAGTAGATCACTTACTGTAGTATTGAAAAGTAGGGTTGCACTTCATTTTACAGTACGTTTACTAAGTGAACTTGTCTATAAGATTCTTTAGGAGTGGACATTATTATTTTTTTGTCTGTTACATAAAGTAAATTAATCTAAAAATCGATCTTTAAAAGACAGACTGAAATGTCTTCTTGCGGCTGTTTATGCAACTGGCCCGAATAAATCACTGACATGTAATAATAAAACAGTAGTCCAGGCAAGTGCTCATCTCCTTTAATAATTCAGTCTTGAGTAACACAACACTTCAGATGATACTATAGTTTACTCTTACACTTAGAAGTACATCTTGCACCCTAGCGACACAAAGCGGGTGGATCTAAACACACAGACACCCTCTCACACACACACAGGAGCAGCACAGAGAAAGGAAATGAACAGGAGAGATGGCTGGGAATGTGAACGTTGCTGCTCAATCAATATTCAATCTCTCGCTCATAATCGTTCTCTTACTCCACTCAAACACACAACTGACATCCCAATGTCAACATTTCAAAAAAATATATACTGTAGCCCATTGGTTGCCTCATCCCACATAAAATGGTCTCATGATCTAGTGCAACAGAATGTAACATCATTAGGAGTGTGAACACAGACATGGTGCAAATAAAGCGCAGACTGAGTGACTCTACAAATAAAACGACACTAGTTACGCGAGCCCTTCGCCACTCGGGAACCGTTATTAGGTTTTAGTAAGCTTTTGTTTGTTCGCTCACGTTCACGACCCGTCTGTGCTTCGCCAGGCATGCAGACAGACAAGCACACATGAGTAACACAGCTGTGGATGAACATGAGATTGTGGTCATGTGCCATTGAGACTGGAAAGGAAAAAAAATAATGAAGTGAGAACAACGTCTAAGTGATGATGGTCCACTGGCCTGTGTGGGAGGAGCCAGGCTTCTGTGATGACATCACCGGTCTGAAAGCCTGCTGGGGAGGGTGGGGAGGGTGGGGGGAGTGATGTTTGAACAGCAGAGGAGTGTGTTACGGTCCTGTGGTGCTTACGGCACCGGGACGACACGCATGGTGTTGGTGTAACCGGATCCTGGGCGCCAGCCGGTCAGGACGATCACGACATCACCGGCCTTGAAGAATCCACGAGCCTTACCTGAGTGAGACCAGAGGGTTTGATATGAGTTCAAAGGGTAACGGTAAAATATACTGACGAGTTCCATGATTATTCATTTATTTAGCTTGGTGCAAATAACTGTGCTTTCTTGGTACACAATCATTTTATGGAACTTGTATTTCAAACAGCTAATGTAAAGTGTAAAATGCAACTAAACGTCCTTGCAAGTCAATTTAACCCTTATGCTGCATTAGGGACATTTTTGGTCTTTTGCAGTTTAATTTCTTTGACCATTTTGGCTGTTTTAATGCAAATGGTATGACATTTTGCAAAATTGTGACTTTTTGGATACATGTAAAAAATGTGATCCCATTTTGCAAAATATGTATAACACACACTGTGTAGATCAAATAGTAACACTCAGCACCATAAAGACCAAAAATGGCCCATTGAAACCCATTAAAACGTTGTTTAAATCTGAGGCTGTCAGTAATACATGAAATATGATTTTTGCACAAACATCCTTTCATTTTGAAGCAAAAGCATTATATTTGCATTATATAGTGTATTCCACCAGATGACGTCACTACATATTTATTCCCTATGGGTGGAAATGCAGCTTATTTTAGGCAATAGGCAATGTTTAATAGGTGGCCATTTTTGGTCTCTAACGCGCTAAGTGGGATTTTTTGCAAAGTGGGACTGTGATAATCCAAATCTAAAGTTTTCTCTTTGCATTTAGTTTATTGAAAATAATTGAATTTTTGTGTTTTTTCCTCTTATACAATTTGATGGTTTCGCAAACAAAACTGGTAATTAAAGGGTTAAAATCCTGAAATTGAATAAATTTTTGGTAGTTATGATGAGGACTGATGCTGGTAAAAGATTTAACTTGGTAAAAGTGGAAAATAATAATAATATATAATATTTTAGGCAATGTTTAATATGTGGCCATTTTTGGTCCTTAATGCACTCAACGGTGTTAAAAATCTAATGCAGCACAAGGGTTAAAGTGTAATTATAGATTTTTTTTGCATGAGAACAATCTATGGAAATCAGTCTACGGATCATCTGCTGAAATTAAAGTACAACGATTCTGATGAACAGGTTACTTGACAAGTAATCCGTTATGTTTTTTGCTTTTTTCTTGTATGCAATTCAAGGGATTTTTAATGCATGATTTCGGCTAGATATTCTAATAAAGGCCTTTCACAAATACACCTATTTATTGTAGTCTGAATGAAAACAAAAACAATGAAAAACATACATGATGCACAAGAGGAGAGTCTTCTATCTGCTCAGACATCTCTTGGCATTGGTACTCTAACTGATCTACAAATACGGATTCATTGCTAAAAGACAGTCAAATACACACAGAGTTTTGTTTACTCTTTATGAACCGTAGAAAAGAACTCAATTTGTCCTTCATGAAAATGAACGTAATTCAGGCCCTGTAACTATTCACCTGGAGCAAATGAGACGAGTGAGAGGAGGCGGGTGTGTGTCCGCTGGCTGTCAAAGAGTGACAGCTGGTATCAGTGTGTTGATACTGCGGAAAATGAGCAATGGAATCATTTCCGATAATTCAGTATCAATATGCATGAAAAAAAAATGCATATTGTATTAAAAATGCGTTTGTGTTCGGAACGACTTGAGGGATCCTCGTCTTTTCGTGTGACTTACTCTCTAACCATTTACAAGAGAATGATGACTAGACCGGTTTGTACTACACTTCAGCCTTTAGTAACTAAGGACACCGATGCGTCTTACCAACTTCCATGGCAAAATTGACCCTCAGGTCCACATCCTCGGCCCACACGTCATTAGAAGGATTGTTGTAGAGTACGGGGAAGATGCCGCGGTACAGATGAGCCTGCCGGGCCGTCTGCTCGTTACGGGTCACGGCTATGATCGGAGCGCGTGGGCGGTATCGGGAGATCAGATGAGCAGACCTGGAAGAGAAGACAGGAGTGTGCGTTAATGAAAGTTGGGAAAAGAATGGAGAAAATGTAAATGCAAAATGTTCTGAGGTTTCCAGCAAACCCTTCTTACTAAAGATAACTTACAGAAAGATAAGATGGTCAAGAACAGCTACGAATAGATTTATGTGTGATTTACCCACCCACACATACAGAGCTGACCCAGAGACATGTGACTATCAAATTAAGGTTAAACCCTACATTCTGTTCGCTTTGCTCTTACAGTCCACACACACACAGGTCTCACTTACAACCGTCGTTCAAGGGAAAGGGTCAGGGAATGAAGAAAATTGAAATTAATACTCGGTTATTATCAGATTTTTCCGCATCACCGTCCTGCTTTTAGTGAACATACAGGAATGCCTTTTTACTGAAATGGGGGACAACTGATGTATGCATGCAAAACGGGCCCTCAAAATAAAAATACACATAATAAGCATATATATTTAATATATATATATATATATATATATATATATATATAAATTTTATACATACATACATACATATACATACATATATACATACATATATATATGAAGAGTTCAGATGCAAAAGCCTCTAAATGCCATTTGAAATTTTCTTCTTTAATGATGATTTTTTCAAACTTGTATATTTAAGTTCAGTAATTTCACTTAAATAACAATTAATAGGTAATTATCATTGTCATTTAAGTGAAATCACTGAACTTAAATATACAAGCTTGATAAAAATGATCATTCTAGAAGAAAATTTCAAATGGCATTTAGAGGCTTTTGCATCTGAACTCTTCATATATATATATATATATATATATATATTAATTTAACAAAAAAAGTACAATGTTCTTTTGAACTTTCTATTTAAAGATTTCTATTTAAAGGGGAAAAAAAAGGATAATTTATGAAAATAAATCACAAATCACAGTGGGTATTTCCTGGAGCTGGTAAAGTTACATTTATAGAATAATATGAACTTTAATGAAACAATATCAAAACTTTTTTAAACGTCTTTACATTAATCTATCAAGTAGAGCGTGGTATGAGCGCTTCAATGAAAGGTCATGCATTATATTCCAGGCCTTTTGTCTCACCTGTTGGATGCTGAACTCTCCCTCAGGCCCCTCCCCTCTTACCTGCCGGTCTTGGTGAGCACGATAAGGGCGCTGGCGCGGCATTTGAAGGAGGACTCGACAGCGCCAACAGCTACAGCGTCTGAAGGGTCGCGTGTCAGGAGAGTGGAGCGCCTCAGCTCCTCAAACAGCTGCCGGTGGAACGTGGCCGCCTCTGCCTCACGGGCAATCTGACAGCGCCACCCGGTGGAGGGAGGGGGAAGGGAGGGGTTACACACAATCACACCGTCTACCACTCAGACAGAGAGAAATACACAGACACACACATGGACAACAATGTTTATGCTAGTCCCATACTGCTCCAAAGCTCGAACAGTCGTTTTAAAAAAATTATTTTTATTTGGTCATTTAAATAATTATGATTTAAATAAATTAGTATGATTAACCCTCTGGTGCTCTTCACGTGTCGGTCAAAAATGACCAACATTTTATTTTTATTTCAATGAAATTAATGTACTATATGTTTTTTGTATTTAATATTTTTAGGCGATTTTATGGAACTAAACTATATTTACGCTGTATATATTTGCTCCAAAGCATTTAAGATTTAAGACAGCGAGTATGAAACTCAAAAAGTGAATAAATGGATTATAATTGTTATCCATTTATTGAGTTTCCAACTTAAACTGTATTAAACCTTGAATGCTTTGGAGAATAGACTTAAGTTTGATCTCTTTCCAAAGACAACACTTATCAGATTATTGCTGAAAAAGGTTGAACAGTTACAGAATTGAATGTTCATTGTTATTAAAAAAAAGTGCAAAAACACTACATTCAATTTTTTATATGAAAACTATATTTTCAAAAATATTTGAATGGGTGTAAATATATTGTTTTACTGTAAAACTGAGAAAATCAAAGCCTGAACAATTTTTTTGTGTGTGTGTTCAATTTTTGTGTTGTGTTAAGCAAATCCCTTGACCAAGTTTCGTACTTATGAAGAAGAAAAAAAGCTTTAAAAAAATACATTTATCAGAGCACTAGAGGGTTAAATTGTTTTTTTTTTTAAAAATGAATTCTGACTTGTAATTATAAAAGCTTGTTTCCTTGCAGATGGACAGCATTAACATTGACAGCGTGCCATGTGTCTGTCTCTCTCTCTCTCTCTCAGTCCTCGTCTGTCCCTGCTCTTCCTACTCCCTGACTGTGCCGAGCTGGTTCTCCACATCATTTCCACACTGCCCGCCTACCTGCCAGACCCAGTGAGGACTATAAACGCAGAGGCCAGGATTTTAAAGGAGGCCTCCACAGCGCCAATGGCGATGGCCTCGGCGGGGTCGGTGGAGTGGCCCAAACAGCGGCGCAGGTCCTCAAACACCTGCCGATGAAACATGGCCGCCTCTGCCTCACGAGCGATCTGATGCAGCCAGCGCATGATACGACAGGCAGAACACAGCAGAGAGAGAGACACGCACATACATGAGACAAGAGAAGGTGGAGGACAGAGGTGAGGAGAGGCAATCAAAATGAATTGAGGGAGGTAAAGAAGAGAGAGTAGAGAAAACAAGAAAGGGGAAATTAATGCAGGAGTTAGTTCAGAAGAAAAGGTTAGAACAAAAAACAAAATGAATATTAGTTCACACAGTAAATTAAATGCAAATTAACATTAATTACAGTGAAAACCACCACCATTAATTCATGAATATTATTTGACATATATAAAACAATGACTAGTAAAGTGTAAGGCTGTAACGGATTTGTGATGATAGAGTTAAAGAAGTCATGCTAAAGAAAGATTACTAGATCATATGACTACAACATGCAAGTCCAAATGAAGAAAGGTCGAGCACATGACAGGAAATCATGCTGGGTTGCAGAAAGCTTTGAACTCAACCAGCTTCACGAAAACATACGCTTAAAGGCGTGTTATAGGCAAGAGACGGTAACGCCTGAAGTTGGTAATAATCACCAGCAGATTAAGGCCATATCTGTGATGACTGGGCAAACATGTGACCGCTAACGCAAACATGCGAACCTTGAGCACCATGCAGAACTGTTAACTAGCCCATCAAGAACTGGCAGACAGAAAAAGTGTCTTGTAAGAAGGCTGTTGTCTGTAACTGACCCTGACAACTGAGACAAACAAAACGAGCAAGTGAAGGCAAAACACATGCATATTATATGAGAGAATGGAAGTAATGAAGGATGTTGAGATATTCATGAAATATTATGGGTTAAAAGCAAAACACACAGTGGGGTCTGCATGAAGAGTACATTGAAAAACTCAAACTGTAATTTAAAACCTGGGAAAAATACATATAATATTTCAGATTCTACATTATTTTTAGGTGATTAATCAAAGCAAGTAAATGAGTGACATTTCGCTTTGTAGAGGCAAACACCAAAACACAATTTGACAGTTCACTTAGTTACAATATAATTATGGAATAAAGTTTTTTAAAAAACAAGCTTCTCATTTCTGCTTTTAAATCACCCACAGACCTCCACTGTAAGTTAAATTGACCGTTGTTTTTACAAACAGAGACTAGAGACATTTTTTGCCACAAAATGCCGTCCATAATTTGCATTTAACCCGTAAAATTCCCTTGAAAATTCTTTTAATTAGTAATTTTAGATGAGAAAGTTATGATAAAATGTACGAGTCGGGTACTAAACCGTTTAGCTGTTTGACAGTGTTAATGTGCACGTCAGCAGGGGGCGCTCTCACCATGTGTTGGGTGCGTACGGCCTCCAGAGGATAGTCTCCCTTCGCAGTCTCTCCACTCAGCATGATGCAGTCGGCACCGTCCAGAACAGCGTTGGCCACGTCACTGCCCTCGGCACGGGTGGGACGAGGCTTCTTGATCATGCTCTCCAACATCTATAAACGCATGAGAAATAGTAATGGTTCGATTTTAGGGGTGTAACAATATATTGTGTCACAATACAAAGTATAGTTCAACCAAAATGGAAACTAATGAGAGAAAGAAAATCAAGTTTACAGAGATTTTGGTGTCAGTACTACATACTGTATAATAATCTAATGGAGGAATATCTGTGGGTCCTGATAATGCCAAATGTCTAAAGTCTAGCCAGTGACAGAGTGCAACAATGTACTTTTAAATTATTTCTTTATCTTCAGAATCATGAAGATTGTTATTCTGGTGTCTCTATTGTCCTGTGCTCTTTGGGTTTCCAGCACCAAGTCCAAGACTATTCATTTACACACACAATGCAACACCAAATTTAGCATTTTACCCAACTGTAAAAAAAAAAAGAGTAGCCTTTATCATATATCTTGGAGTCTTGCAATAATTTCATATTGTGACATGTTTTGAATTGTGATATGAGGGTATCGTTACACCCCATTAGATATTTAGAGCTTGTTTTACAATGCACACGTCACTGTAAGAAAACTTCACACTGGAGCAACATTGAGCCTAATTAAATATCACAGAAGAATTCATTCTGTCTCAGGAACAATTTCCATTTTAGATATATTTTCTAGAAAATACATGGATAATAATACATGATTGTAGCTCAGCTGACCTGTGTGGCACAGATGATCGGCTTTCCTGCCTTGTTGCAGCGACCGATCATCATCTTCTGGGCCAGGAACACCTTTTCCGTGGGGATTTCAATTCCCAGGTCACCACGGGCGACCATGATGCCATCACTGGCCTCCATGATCTCATCAAACCTGGCAAATAAAGGGGACACTTCAAATCCAAATCATTTTTTAATCACATATGCAAACATGAATAAAAAAAATCATTACAACAATGAGCTCATTGTTTGCTTTAAATAAATATTTAGCCAAGTGTGATTTTGTATATGTACATTTCTGAAATACACAACTTCCTCTGATAACAAATACCGCTAAATTGTAATATGGACTAATATTTGACATGACATGTATTGTGAAAAGCACTTTACAAATAAATGTGTATTGAACATAACATCTAATACCGCATATTAAGAAAAGTTGAATCCACTCACTTGCGCACACCCTCGTGGTTCTCCAGCTTGCTGATGATCTTGATGTTCTTGCCCTTCTCTCCGAGCACCTTACGAACCTCATGCACATCCGCTGCCTTGCGAATAAAGGAGGCAAAGACCATGTCGACTCCCATCTGCACACCGAACTGCAGGTCATTGATGTCTTTGTCTGAAACGGCAGGAAGGTCGACTGCGGCCCCCGGGAGATTGACACCCTTCTTGCTACCCAGAGTTCCTCCATTCTCAATTTCACATATCAGATAGTCAGAGCCTGACAGAGAGAGAGAGAGATTATTCATTAAACCCTTCCACAGAGTCTACACTAGAGGCGACAAGCGTTAAACCACAGACTTAGTCGTAGGTGAAATAGAAGATTTTATTTTCAACATAAAAAAAGCCCCAAATCTATAACTCACCGATTTCCTGGACCTGGAGAGAAATGAGTCCATCATCAATGTAGACCTTACTGCCCACTTCCACCACCTTGGTGATGTTCTTGTAGTCCAGCCAGAGGTTATCCTCATCACAGTTCTCCATGAAAGAATCGTCTAAGGTCACTTTGATCAAATTTCCCTTCTTCAGCTCAACCTCAGCAGTGCCACTCTGGAACAGACAGATGCATATTTGCAATAAGGGCAAATATGGTGTTTTAGAACCATTTCTCTTATTATGTGGACTAATAACAGCTAATTAGGTGGTATACACTTTGGACCTCTTTGTATCACCTTACGTTGAACTGAAATGAGTAAACTCACCCCTTTAATGAGCCCGGTTCGGATTTCTGGCCCCTTGGTGTCCAGGGCGATGCCCACTGGCCTGTAGTGGATGCTGCCCGGCTCGAAACTGGCACAAGCTTCACGTACATTTTTAATAGTTTCTCCATGATACTGAAATAGAGAAGAAATCAACACTGAATACTACTCCAAACACACCATAAATGTCTCTATTAGAGATGTCTACTAGAGTCACGATTCGATACTGAACTTATGACGCAATATTTTTTATTTTGGGTGAATAGTCACCAACCCATAGATGCATTTTTGTATTGCGACACGATATATTGCTACACCCCTAGTAACAGCTGATGTTAAACAAGTGCACTTGAATGTCTCACAGCAATATAATAATTACCCAACAGCACAGGTTATGTCATTACAACCTTCTAACATGCTCACACGCAACTAAGCAACGGTCAAGGCGTGTGTCTAGACGAGCAAAACTGGGTCACTCGTATACATGCAATGTGTGCATGCAATGTGTGATACGACATGATACAAAGGTCACCAGTTAAAAGTTTGATCTACTGATCACGCTTTAATACACCAGGTTAGAAAAGCACCTTTGAGCCATGACGTTACATGTGTCATACAGCTGTAGTACTAATCACTTAATCTAGTCACTTTCACTTCAGTAGCTCATTGACCTCTACACTCAAGGTCATTCCTTCTGTTGGGCAAACAGGCCACCCATCTGATGTGGACACACACCCTGTTTGTTTAAGAGTGTGAAATGCTTGTAAAATATGGCAGATTTTTTTTTTAACCCAAAGCCCACCATTAGCTAAGCCACATAGGAATAGATGAGGGGCAAAATGTGTGTCTTCACAAACTGAGATCAGTGATTGTTAAATGTACACTTCCTTTCCTGGTACTAACTAAACACATATTTTTAATTTAACCTTGTATCTTTAGTTTTTAGAATAATGATTGGCTCAAAGGATCTTAAACTGAAATAACATTTCTGGAAAGATCTGGCTCAAAACAGGCCAGAACAGGATAGGATTACTTGAGAAAATTTGACTAAACACACTTGACTTATTCAGAAATCTGAGATGAATTTTACTTTAAATTTGATGTCAGGAGCTTGCAAAACTGCTAAAGACATAGCAAAGCTCATAGCCAGCGGCTTCTGTATGAACTATTATTGCGGAAGAGAATGCTGTTGAGACGTGATAAGCTCTTTGCTGGGAAGGAACAGATAAACTATTTATAATAGGCTCACTCTAGATTAGGTTACACACACTTTCTCTCTCTGTGGCCTTTGACCCTGTACGTTTTTTTAGGCTGTGAACTACATAGACATTTTAGCATAATTTCTGGTAGAGAATGGCTTTTCAAACATCAGTTGTGCAGTCAATGGATGCAAGCATAAATAAAATTAGAGAGAGGAGCATAAGAGTGTAAATAATGATAAATGGTATGTACCTCATGTGAGCCATGAGAGAAGTTCATGCGAGCAATGTTCATGCCAGACTTGATCATCTCCTTCAGCATGTCCACAGAGCGAGAAGCCGGTCCTGTGGTCACATGACACACAATGCACAATCAATTCCTGCTTCCTCTGGACTTAGGCTATTTTAAACATCAGTTAATATGCGCTCTTTTCTTTTTTCCCCAACATTTTACATCCGTTTCCTCACATGAAAATCCAAGTCAGAACAATGACATGATGAGGGAGAGTTTGGTAAATCTTTTTTAACACAACAGCACTCAATAGACAGGTCAGAATTAATTAAACACTTAATTGATATATAATCTCGTGTTGTAGCCTTTTGCAACTACCTCATATTTCTGCTTTATTACAAAAGGAAATCAGAGTTGAATCAGCTGTGTGTGTAGTAGGGCTGCAACTATCAATTATTTTAGTAATATAGTATTCTACCAATTATAAAATATTGTTTAATCGGATAAATTGTGGTAATAAAAATAGTTTCAAGAACATGCAAACTCAGAGGGTTAAAACTTGTTTCGAAACCACGATTAACACTTCACATATTTAGAAACATGTATTCTCGTGTGTTGTAGATTTACAAATGAGTTACAATACAAATCTTAGGAAATGGCATGGCGCACACTGCGTTCCCAGATGAACGTTATAAGCAGCCCAAACTCACAGCACGCACAGATGGAGTTTGAGAAACCCGAGACGTGCTCCATGCATATAAATGATAACAGAACAACTATGAAACACTGCCGTTTTTTGCATTCCCACATGCACGTTATTGGAAACCTAAACAAACAGCACATGCAGAGACTGAGTTTGTGTGGAGCAGCGTTTACTGTGAACGGAGCTGAGGTACTTTTAACATGTTATTTGCACAAATGTAAATCAAGCGTTGTGCTTCTCTGTGGGGAAAAAAAAAAAAACGGAGCATATATTGATTTAACTGAATCACAGCCTTTGTGATTTCACAATAGCACTATGCTATATTATGATTGCAAATGGTTTTAAATGTCGCGTAGATTCTCGTCCGTGAAAAGCGGCTTGTTTATTTATAACCAGAAGTGGCGCTTTTCACGGACGAGAATCCATGAACCGCATTATTACACCGTTTTCTAAGGCTATGTGATATACATATAAAACCATTTACAATCATAATATAGCATAGTGCTATTGTGAAATCACAAAGGCTGTGATTCAGTTAAATCAATATGAATTTAGTTATGTATTTTGCCAGGTTACTCGACTTTAATCGAGGAATGGGGAAAGCCCTAGTGTGTGTGTGTGTGTGTGTGCATCCACTGACCGATGGTGCAGATGATCCCAGTGTTGCGGGCGATGGTGGGCTCAGAGTCGATGTCCAGCAAACACAAGTGCTCCAGGAAGGTGTCAGCCATGGCAGCATTGAGCTGCTGCGTCTGGATGAAGGCAGAACCCATATCTTGAGCTTTAGTGTGGGACATCGTCGAAGAAACGGGTAATATCCTACAGCGAGAGAGAGAGAGAGACCAATGAAATGACATCCACATGATGAACTCACTAATCACATGTCTGGTGTGTCTGTGTTTAAGACTCCAAGTCTCATTCTCATGATGGACTGAACAGCTAGAGTAGAGACGAGTGATTTAAAACAAGAGTGCATCTTGAAGATGTGATTAACCCGGATTTAAACTCAACAGCATAAACAGTGGCAGGAACTAAAGCCATAAAAGTCAATGCATTTTGCTGAGAATTTAGAGTCGCATAAAGTCAGCTAAATAGTTACCCTCACACTCCTCTGTAAAATCAAACATGTCAGCTCTGCACCTCTCAGTATGTGTAGACAGTATAGGAATGTGGTGAAAAGGAATTTTTACTTTGCATATTATGCAACAGACTCCAGCACTTAGAAACACTATGAACATTTACAGTTAATATAACACGGTCCTGCAGAGTTCAGATCAAACACACCTACCTGTAATCTTCTAGTAACTCTAAAGACTTTGATTAGCGTGTTCAAGTGTGTGTCATAAGGCTGGTAAGCAGACCGTTTCAGGATCGTTTTCTGAACTTGCATGTGCACCAGCGAACTGCATCAGAGTCTGTTTAAAAACTAGTTACATTCCATGTAGACTCAATGGTTCAGTGGTAAACACACATTGCAAATAAATACAAGAGACCTGGGGTGAAATTGAGGCAAGGTTCAAATTAAGAATCTTAAGTTAAGACAAACTGAACATTCACATGTTTTAATTAATATAGTGTTAGCAATTTAATTTTACAACCCACACACACACACACAACCCCAATGAGCTGGTCTTTGTGTGCTTGATGTGACCTGGATTTATCTTAATGCGGAGATTGCGTATGTTACTAAAGCTTAATTTGAAACTGAGGTAAGCCACCTCAAACACCCTGAAGCGCAGAAAAGTCACATGTGCACGTGACATCCAGCCAATTACAGCCCTGTTGGCACACACAAATCATGATAATTTAAGAATGAATTGAGAATTACAGATTCTAAATCAAATGAGATAAATTTAATAATGCAGAAAGATGACTGTTTACACAAATTATGCATTAATAAGTCTCAATGGAGCTTGTTCTAGTCACATCATGTGCAAGGTACGGCACCAGGATGGGCTTGTCGAGGACTTTACTCCGCTTTCTAATCAAAGAAAACCACACCAAATTCCACTCTGATGATGTCATGGTGGTACGTGGGGAGATTCACACCACACACACTCTTCATCACGTAGTAATGTGATGACTAAGACAGGGTGGAAAATCCAGGTCTTTGTGTAATGCACACACACACTCAAAAGTGGGTCTCAATCAACTTCCTGAATAGGGATGGGCAACGATTAATCGCATCCAAAATAAAAGTTTGTGTTTATGTAATATATGTGTTTGTGGTGTATATAAATACACACACATGCATGTATACATTTAAGAAATATTTGCATGTAGGCACTTTATATACATTTATGCATAATTAATATTATGTATAAATATACATATTTGATATATTAAGAACACATTTTTCTTAAATATATACATGGATGCATGTGTATTATATACAAAATAATTATACACACCACATACACATCTATCATGTAAACACAAACTTTTATTTTGGATGCGATTAATCGTTGCCCATCCCTACTACAGGAAATTATGCAAAATGTGGTTTGTGTCACTTATAAGTAGGGCTGAACGATTAATTGCATTTGCGATAAAATCGCGATATGATGAAACGCGATTTTGTAATCGCAAGAGCTGCGATTATACTGGTCACGTCACGTGACACGCGAGAGAAAAGCAGTCTGCAAGATAAAGCATCAACTTGCCACGCTACGCGGTCTGGCGTCCAGAAAAGAACAGTTTATTGTGTTATTTATTCTCTCCTCTCCTCAACAATCCTGGATCGATTCAGAGAATTTCAGAATCGAGTCTATAGTTTTTAAACACAGATGCGTGATGACGCTGCGCGTGCTTTAGAAACGAACCGTGTTCTGAATCTGCTTGCTTCTATTTTCTCGCTCTCTCTCTTCCTCACTCACACACATGACATCGCTCGAACCTTCCAAAACATAGTAACGTTATTTCATAAAGTTCGGGATTGAACCGAATTACAAGGACATTCACGGGCTTCATTGAACAGGTTTTGCCGCTTTGCTTGATGTTATAACGTTACTCTTGCAGTGCGCGTTCTCTCCCGCGGGAATTTTCTTTACAAATGCTTTAGTTCACAGAGGCATTATTTATGTCTTTTGGAATGCAGTTGGCTTATATATTAAAACCATGAAAATCACTGAGAAGGCTGCTTTCATTTTTAAATACTAACGCGTGCTTTGTGAAGAGCGCTCGTGCATGCGGCCGTGAGCGACTCATTGGTAAATGTACTTGCATGTCAAAATGCTTTTATGACGCGAAATTAATGTAAACACGGTCAGTTATATATCTTAAACCAACAGGACAAACCACATTTAGAATTTCAAAAGAGATATATGCATTAGTGTGAATGCAGCTTATCGTATCTAAACTGAGGGGGAAAATCACTCCAGCTCTTGAATGAAAAACATTCAGACAGCCTACTTTTAAATACTGAGACCACTCTTTGTTTATTGCTTGTAATGTTTTTTTTTTGTTTCTCTTTATTTACTAGCTTTTATATTTTAAAGCTATATTATTTTATATAGCCTATTTAAAATTCTTAACATGTAATTGCTTTAATTAAATGTTTTTTATATTTATTTTTTAAAGTATGTGTTTTTACACATGCAATTAAATACATATTTTAAGAGTTATTAAGATTAATTAATAAGAAAAAAAGTAGATCGAATCATGAGCTATCTAAAGATTCCCATCCATACTATACAATTATTTATTGCTTGTCTTTGTCAACTAATACAGAAGGTAAATAACTTTATTTTTAAATCGCATATTAAATCGCAATCGCAATATTGGCTAAAAAAATCGCAATTAGATTATTTTCCAAAATCGTTCAGCCCTACTTATAAGATGGTAATGCTACTGCATATATCTGATGTAACTGTATTGATTTCTATCATGCGGCTCATCAGACAATAGCGTTAGCATCTGATGCTAACAGGACACTGAAGGTCAGTGTTAGTATGTCACATGAATATCTTGTTATTATAGGCCTGTTTTATTACCACATTCCCTGCTTTATCTCCAAAATCACAGCTATGGAAACACAGCCTGTCTCAAAGCCCATGAACAGGAATAATTTCACCGTTCAACAGCCAGAACTGCAAAATTTGACTAGCTCAAATCATGAGGCTTACGAAGGTGTGCTAAAAAAGGTTAGCATCTGAAATTGCACCTTCAAATACCACAAGACGCAAACAACCACACAGCAACACCCTGGCAACCACCCACATCATCATGATGGTAAGTCAAATCAAATTTACTTGTATAGCGCTTTTCATTAAACACAGAACTGTGCGATAGCGTACATTTTGCAATGATAAACAATCTCACAGCCAAGACTACCTATATAATAAGTATTGCTTTACACAAGTGTTCAGAGTGTTTGGCAACCACCAGAACATTACATTTTCCCAGTCCTAAATCTATATATCCACAGCTGTATCGGGTCATATCTGTGTCTGACCTCATGTCATCATAACAACAACATCCGTCACAGCACTGATGCCGTCTAACTTTAGAACATGTATTAATCCGCCTGCATCCAAACACACACACACACACTCAGATAGTCACACTGATCTTAAAGTCACCCTGTTGACAATCTCATTAAGTATGTGCGGTTCTATGAATATGCAAATGAGCCCGCCTCCACTCCCTCAGATCAGAGATCCAAGGTTTGTCAATCACACGTTGATCTGATTGGTTACAAGGTGGTTTGTGACGTCAGAAACACCAGCGATTTCAACCCGTGTTTTTGAGACAGTTTTTGGTTCACTGCAGTTTTAAGGAGGAAATACTCAGCAATGCTGTCCACTTATCAACTTACACATGTGTGTGTTAAAGCGGATTAGGCCATCCTTAAAAATATTTTGGTTTGCAGTAACAGCAATTTTTTTTAAAAAAAGGGTCAGTAGGTAGGTCTATTTTTTTTTTTTCCAGGATTCAGTGTAAAAAAAAAAGTAAAATTTTGGTCATGGTGATCATGAATTTTTTTTTTTTTTTTTTTTTAATTGCATACTGTGACGTCACTGACTGGGTCTTCAAACTGTGCATCCACCACTAGGTGTTATTGCAACCTACAACCGGTTACGTTTTTAGGCCAGTCACAAAATGAATAAATATCTACTGTATTTGTTATGCAGCAGTGTGCAGGCTTTTTTTCCCCCAAATACATGAGATATAAGCAAAAACAAGTACAAACACATGGTGAAACAAAGAATACAATTAAACAAAGATACAAATTAGCCTATATACACAGTGCTTTAATTTCAGAAAGGTCTAAAATTAGCTACTTTTCAGTTAAGTGTGTTGCGCTGTCTGAAAAGAAATTTAATTTAGTAAATCAAATGTAAAATGACACTGCATGGTTTATCATAGTTAGATTAATGCTTATTAAAGTTTAAGTTAATAATTCAAGAGCTGCGAGTGATTTTTCTCTGCCTTTTGTTGTGTTTGATTCCCATTACTGGCTCAATCGTCACATGTTTATTAGACTACTGCCCCTTTAAGACCGAGTGCGGATCTAACAGATGACTGATGCACCACCATATCCTCCCAACTATTCACATCCATTTAAGACATAAACTGTGTTTAAATGAATCTCAGAGCAGGTCATTTTAGATTTTATGTATATTTGATAGTTTAGCTGCGCACATGAAGCCCAAAATGAGGCTATAGCCTACTTTTCTTGTCCCGTTGCAGTGCATTTCGGAGCACGCATCACCTTGTGAACAGCGTCTCTTGCGCAGACTTTTGTGCTTTTAATAGCTCTTTTAATGATTGAACCCGTACGCAGTTTAGCAACAGTACATACTGCATTTTACAACAATTACCGATCGTGCTGATTCTGACGGTACGTTTGGGTTTTAGGAAGAAATGACAGCGCAACGCTGTGAAGGGAAGGAAGTTGCGCTATAGACAGAATGCGTCTGTAATGGTTTCATCTCAAATATCTTTTTATAATCTTTAAAAGCGGAAATCTAAAATACAATTAGAATAATATCCCAGATCTAAAGTGTAGGTAACCACGTTCTGTCCTCATTGTCACTCATTAAGCAGGGCTGTCATGTTGTTCGCGCTGTGGCTCCGGGTGAGAGATCGCTCTCTCTCTTCTGGACTGGGAATAGCAAAATTGCATCAGACAAATTGTTTAATATTATTATTATATATAGAAATGGTTGATATTCAGCCCATTTAATACCGGGTTTACCAAGCGGGAACACTGAATGAAACGAAGCGAACGTATAAGCCTTATAGACAGTGTGACACGGGTAAACCAATCGTGTAAACATAATCAGATGACTATGACGCCACGGGTTTTTATTTAAAAGAAAGAACGTAGCCTACGTTTGTAGACATAAGCAACTTTCACAATACTAACTAAAATATCATTTTATGGAATTTGAATTAGTCGTTTGAAGAGTAAAAAAAAAAAAAAAAAAAAAAAATCGGTCTGTCTGAACGCAAGTTACAACCGGGAAGTCGGTCGGACTAAAAGGGAAAAAAAATAAAAAATTGGGTCGGCCCTAAATTGACAGGGTCGGTCGGGTTACGGCAAACAAAAATATTTTTAAGGGTGGCCTTAAAAACACCACATACACACATAAACATTTAAAAGCTGGAGTTTCACCACAGGGGGACTTTAATGACTATATATGAAGAGTTCAGATGCAAAAGTCTCTAAATGCCATTTGAAATTTTCTTCTTTAATGATGATTTTTATCCAACTTGTTTATTTAAGTTCAGTAATTTCACTTAAATGGCAATGATAATTACCTATTAATTGTTATTTAAGTGAAATTACTGAACTTAAATATACAAGTTTGATAAAAATCATCAGTAAAGAAGAAAATTTCAAATGGCATTTAGAGGCTTTTGCATCTGAACTCTTCATATATAAAAAAACATTAATCTAATAACTGTTATCTGTATTATCTGTGCCTAACAAAGCCTAGTGACGTCACTAACCAGGAACAGCAGCACCTACACCCACCTGTAGGCCCTTCGGCTCTGGGAAATAAGGCACTGTGTGTCTGTCAGAACCTTCCAGAGGAACCCCAGTGTGTGTGACCTTCTCTCCCCGAACACAGCGCTGCAGAACGGGACGCCGGCCAGAACGAAGTTGCATACATTGCACTGCTGAGGAGTGTGAGCACTAAATCCTCTTCCCTTAAGAGAGGATAAAACACGCAAGCCACGCACACACTTACTGTCCTGCACGAGCAGGCCTTTGCTAAGTCTCCAGACCCACATGAGTCGATACACACACACCAGTTTAGATGTGGACCGAGCCACTGCGGAGTGCGGACAGTCAAGCCCACCTCACTTACTGTAGATCACATTACAAACACTGGGCTAAAATAAGAATGGGATACCATAAGACTCTGGACTGGCTGGGATTGTACCAGTATGACACGCAACAAGCTTGCAGTGGTGTGTGTAGAAGTCAGCAGTTCATTCATATCTACTCTAGTTCACATTTGCATGAAGCCAAAAGGTGCTTTTATTGCAGCAGAGACTGAGGTGAGTCGGTTCTGTTTATTCTATGATTCAGAAATATGACTAATAACTGTGCATTGGGACGGTGTGTGAAAGGCCAGTTTGAGTCACTGCAGAGCTGTGGGTGTCTCTTACTGGTATTAAGTCTCTTCTGCTGGTTTAGTTTTGAAATCCTAACATAACTAAACAGGATGTTACAGAAACAATTCCCATATTGCGTCGAGACACTCACTGCAGAACTAAAAACAGCTTCCCCTGAAACGGTTCAATTTAGTTCAATTAAGTAAACGTCGGAATGTACACAAAGCGCCAACGGCGTTTATAATAAACTGAATTTGCTGTCTGTTAATGCATACATGATTTAGAGTTATGCATGTTACAACGTGGCTGAGCACAAATCAGGATTATGCATGCTGTGCTCAATTTCAATTCAACAGGAAGTCAAATTGGAATGAGAGAAAAGAGAAATTTACCGAAAGAAATTCTACACAGATAATAAAGTGCTCTTTCATTCTGCTTCATAAAATGAAATTAATTGATTACAGAAAATATAATGAAACATTTGGTCGGTGGCATTTCAAACATTGTTCTTGAAATAGCCCATATGTTACGAATAAAACTAAGTTTATTATGATGTTGGCTTGGCAAACTGTCCATTATCATTTTTCTTCATGAAATACACACTCAATTTGCAATTTAGCTGACTATGTCAATTGAAATACAGGAACTGAGCCAATTTTATACTGCAAAGGTGGCGCTTCTGAACTGAGAAATAAGGTGTTTTGCACTGATTGTTGCTCATGTGTAGCATAAATGCATTTACACAGCAATTTTCAACTGTATGCTAAGATTTGATATTAGCAGCTGAGGTTGGTCAGACTCAGATTAATTATGCCACATCATTATTATTTATATAGAATTGAGCAGGCACAGAACATTAACTGCGTAAACATGCTTTGGAAAATTTAAAGTTCTCCATTTAATGATGCACAAGCTTGAGTACGGGCAAGGTTAAATATAAATCCACCTAGAACAAGGATCAGACTCCACTGACTGATGTAAAATCTCAGTGTTTTCAAGGGATTGCAAGACAAACACAAAAACGTCAATTTCCTCCCTCGCAGAAACAAGATGCAGCATTATAATTATAATCCGTCATCAATGCACCTACGCAAGGAGAGCCTTCAGATCACCAGATACCCGCAGGGGTGTGTTTCTGTGCCAGTGTCATTCATTCACTACAGAGAATAAAGACTATGACTTAATGCACGCCTTAATAATGAAAATATGACCTGTGCATATCGCGAACAAACTGCATAAGCGTTCAGCGCCTCACTGGAGATCAAATACAACCATTAACCTCATCTTTATCATCATTCTGTGTTCACACAGGTGGGTTTTGGTTTAGTCATAGTGTGGCGGATGAGCTGTGGGTCACGTCCCGCCTCTGCGTCACATTCCCCGCCAGCAGAGACTCCCTCACGAGGTGCGCGCACGAAACATATTCATTCGAATTCTTTCAAAAATGAATGACGGTTATTGTTCAACTGCCAAACTGAAATCACAGACGATAATGAATGTTTATCGAGACGGTTAGTCAGCACAAAATAAGCCGAAAACGCAGTGAAATATTTGTGGTTATATGTGGAAACGGAGAAAAAACTAACTTTGAACAAATTAATGACAAAAAAACGATTTTAAAACCTTTACGAGGTAGGTACGCACTGCGTACTGACTGCAAAATGAATCTGTGTGAATCTATTTTTTCAGTGCAGCTACTCTGAACGACAAAAACGCACCTAAAACCGTACACAAAGTGGCTAATAAAGAATAGGAGTATATGAGTATTATGATGTTGATTTTTGTAGGTGGTGCTGCTGTGAAGACACTCACCTGCGTTTGCTGATGGTCGGCCGTGACTGATGCGCTCCTGATCTCGAGCTCAAGGTGATCCGTCAAGCCTACTTCCGTCAAAGGCACGTGAGCCTGCGTGCGCGGAGGGATACTTATGACGTCAAACTATAAAAATGTCACTAAAACTGTTTTTTTATCCAGCAATATTTGACCATAACATTCCCGCGAAACATATATAAACTTGTGTTTGCGTTTCCTCAACGAAACGAAGAGTCGATTAAGCTCTTAGATCTTTATAAACAAACCCGAGCTTCCTGATGGCGGATTATGAAACGCGAAATGAGGGAAGTGGAATAATCCAATCAGAGCCCGAGACACGGCACGGTGCAGGAGCACGAGGAGATCACGTGACTAGAGGATGCTGCTGCTGTGTTGTAACTGTTAAACTGCAAGTCATTGCCAACTACTTGTTTGTCAGGGATATTAAATACGTGTTTAAGTAATACAGTTGATGTATTCTCCATATAAATCTATTAGGTTGTTCATATATGGAGCACACAGAGCGACACTAATGCACTTCCGCGCTAATCCATCTAATAGTTGAGACTCGCGCAGCCGCACGTACGCCAACATCAGCCTTCATCATCCTCTGTTAACTCTTTAAAAAGCAAACACTGAGGAGATTTTACCGTTATATTCACGTATATAGATCACGTTTGTCATCCCAGAACACTAAACAAACTATAATAACGAAATTAGCATGTTTATATTACAAATACCACGAGTACCATGGTAGTGCCATGCTTTATGCACATTTAGCATGATAAAACCTTATTGCTTGGACTTGTTCTATGGTGGTACTCTGTTATTGGCCATGTACCACGGTAATTTCCTGTTTTTTGAACGTGCACAATGGTAATATCATGTATTTTGTACTTGTACCATGGGAGCACTATGTTTTACCATGCATTTTTGGTACCATGATAACATGGTTCGTACAGTAAATACGGTAAATCATCAGAACCAGACCATCAGGTCATAAATGATGCAATTGATAGACCTTTTGATTCTATAATTTGTAGTTACTGGCACTAGCTAGGGACATACAGTGATGTAATTTACAATAGGAATGTGAAAAAAAAATGAAGTGGAGAGTTATTTGAGTATATGTGTCGCAGAAAGTTATCTTGATATGATATATAAACATGATGGTTTGTTTAGTGCTCTTGATGCATTAATGCCCAGCGCCCTCTAGTGTACATATCCTATCATCTTTCAGCTCAGATATTCACAGATAAAGACATTCATTCCAGTCATGTGAAACATCAGCATCAAGGTGAGTATAAAGACAGATTCAAATGCACACTTACAGCACAGTTGACAGGCAATACGTGTACATGTGTATACGTTTTCTGCATCTGCAATTCAAATCTGCATTATTTAATTCTGTGCATTAATCTGAATTCTGAAATGAGATGTAGTGTAACGAGGCAACGAAAATTACATTTACAAATAATCGAATGTTCTCAAAACCATATGCATTGGCTGTTCATCGTGTAATTGGTTCTCTGAACTGAACTGGTGGTAACATCTGCTTTTAAATAATCTAATTAAACCTCCAAGTACAATGCATCTTCTGTAAAAGTGCCTAACTCATTTACACTCTGTGGTCAAACTTATTTTTGAGAGATATACTGAGAATACTAAACAACAACAACGGTGTAGAATATACTACAGCTCTGCGGACACAAAGCTAAATCACATACTTCCCTAATACTGTATATAGTTGGCGAAAAACAGTATGTGACAAAAGTACAGTCTCAGAAAAAAGGTACAAAAGCTGTCTCTGGGGCTGTACCTTTTCAAAAGGTAAACTTTTGTCCATTTTAGGTGCTAATATGTACATTTTAAGTGTTAATATGTACATTTTAGGTGCTGATATGTACATTTTAGGTACTAATATGTACATTTTAGGTGATAATATGTCCATTTCAGGAGCTAATATGTCCATATTAGGTTCTAATATGTACATTTTGGGTGCTAATATGTAGATTTTGGTACTAATATGTACATTTTAGGTGCCAAGTACATTTTAGGTGATAATATGTCCATTTCAGGAGCTAATATGTACATTTAGGTACTAATATGTACATTTTAGGTGCCAAGTACATTTTAGGTGATAATATGTTCATTTCAGGAGCTAATATGTACATTTTAGGTGCTAATATGTCCATTTTAGGTACTAATATGTACATTTTAGGTGCTAATATGTACCACTAAGGTACCAATATGCAGCCTTTGGGTACAAAAGTGTACCTTTTGAAAAGGTACAGCCCCAGTGACAGCTTTTGTACCTTTTTTTTCTGAGAGTGTAGTATGTCTAAATTCACAGTACTTTTAAAAGACTAGCCAAAAACATCATCAAGAACACATCATATCCAGGACATCTCCTGTTAATCGTTTGCCATCAGGTCATTAAGAACAAGAACCAAACCCGTACAGGACAGTTTCTTTCCAGTCGCCATCCGAAAGTCAAAAATGCATTGAATGCAAAGAGGTGAAATATCATCACGTGAATTATGTATATACAATTTTAAATGTCTTATTTATTGTTGGTGGTTATACAAGTGTCTTGTAATGTGTTCCTAATTTTATTGTATGCAAATACAAATATATATATATGTCTGAATTCACAGCAAAAACATTATTTAGATCACATCACATCCAGATTTCAATTCAAAATTTAAAATCAAAAGTTCCTGGATGATCTACTTCTGGTGAGATTCTGAAGTGTGCATATGATGGACACTTTACTATCCCATGAGGCCACAGGAGAGGGACGGCTGCGTCCCAAAGCGCAGTATTATTCTGAATGGTGTAGCGAAGTGTCCAAGAATCATCCGAGAAGGTCATCCTGGTACCTTTTTCCGACTCTTTTGGGAGTACTGTGATTTAAACATCAGCCCCACTTCTTTTGTCACATACTGTGTTATTTATGTGAAATTCAAAAAAATCTGAATATCGTGCAAACGTTCATTTATTTCAGTAATTCAACTTAAAAGGTGAAACTAATATATTATATAGACTCATTACATGCAAAGTGAGAGATTTCAAGCCTTTATTTGTTATAATTTTGATGATTATGGCTCACAGCTTATGAAAAACCCAAATTCAAAATTAGAATATTGTGAAAATGTTTTCAACCCATAATCATCAAAATTATAACAAATAAAGGCTTGAAATATCTTACTTGTAATGAGTCTATATATTAGTTTGACTGTTTAACTTGAATTACTGAAATAAATGAACTTTTGCACCATATTCTAAGTTTTCGAGTTTCACCTGTACGTATGCATGTATATGTGTGTATCTGTGAATGTGTGTATATATGTATGTGTGTATATGCAAATATGTGTATATCTTCTGCTTGTTTTGGACTAATACGGGTTATTGTTTGAAGGTGAGTGTTTTGAAACCAGCTCATACTGCTTTGAGCATCTGCGTGTGTGTGTGTGTGTGTGTGTCCTAGTGAAGGTGTGTATCTCGCCTGCTCTCCATGACTCTTTGCATGTGTGTGTGTGTGTGTGTTTGTGTCTCTCACCTGCTCTCCACGACGACCCCCCCGCTGCTGCTGCTGCCGCTGCCCATGATGAGCTGCTCACCTGACGGCTCTCGTCTCTCTCACTGACCGCTGGTGTGTGTCCTTGTGCCGCTCGCCCACTCCACAGGTTAGAGACAAACCCTTCGGCCAATCCGGGGAAACCCTCACCTGTAAGCCACTGAAGTCTGCATCAAATCCCGTCGCAAATCCCATCGATGCACTCTGGACTGGACAACGTACAATATCTCAAACTGAGCCAAGATCTTAATATATGATCCACGTTAATTTTGAATATGAATTTTACTGTAACATCTCCTGAGATAAACGCATACTGAATATTGTACATTTAATTATTTCTTAATGTTTTCTGCTCATTCACAAGTGTAGTTTGTCACTGGCAGTGTTATGTATTATTTATGTAAGATATTATATTATTGATAAATATAAATATAATTTCTATATTTAAATAAATATATGTTTATAGTTATATTTTAGTTTTCATTTTAGTCATTTTGTATGTTCTTTTGGCATTTGGTTATACTTTATTTGAAATTTAAGCATATTTAAACATTTAAATGCTGAGTAAAAATAATTATATAATTTATCATTTTTATTTAAAGATAGATTATTTTATTTTAAGATATTTATATTATTATGTAGTCTTTATTTTTATATTTTCATTTTAATTAGTAATTTTGGTATGTGCATTTGTATTTTTTACTATAATTTTAGTATGTTTAGTACTTAAAATTCAATCAATTTTTGCAAAAGCCAATATTTTTGTTATTTTCAAAAATATAATGTATTTATATTTTAATTTGAATAATAAATACTTCTATATAGTTTATTTCAGTTTTATTAATTTTAATACTCTAACTCTTTATACTTTCAGTTTAAAACTTTCAGTTAGTTGCCAAAGCAACATTTCTAATTTTAATTTTTTCATCTAATATTTATATTTAAAAAATGAGTTAACGATAACACTGGTCATCACCAGGTGCCCAAAAGTGAATCGTCACACTGAATTATGCCTAAAACATGCCGCTGAAGAAGTCCTCTACTAAACTAGCATTAGTTCTAAAATAGGCATTTGCTATTTTAAGGGTTTATGAATAATTAAAGCAAGTGTGTTTTGTACAGGATGGCAGGATATGAGACAGAGCAGTGTCTCTATCAGAGAGACATGAGTCATGCAGTCGAGGACATGTTGGATAATACCTCTCTCTCTCTCTGGAGGTCATTGTGTAAAGCGAGGCTCTTAGTGAGGTAAGCAGGGTAAACTCTGATTAGCATGGTAACGGTTAAGGCCGTCGTGGACTTATACTGTATTAATCTTTGTTAACGTTAAACAAAATAGTCATTTGTTCATGTTAGTTCATATTGCATTAACTAATCTTAAAAAATATCAAAGTATTAGTAAATGTTGAAATAAACATTAACAAAGATTAATAAAAGCTGTAAGTGCGGTTCATTTTTAGTTCATGCTAATTAATGTAGTTAACTAAAGAACCTTATCGTAAAGGGTGATTTTGTAAAGTGTCTACTGTAAAGATCTAATACCATCATATGCAGATAAGTACAACCAGAAAGACACATATCAACAGTAAAACACGTACGAGTTTATTTTGGGGTTGAACAAAAGAAAAAAAGCACCTATTTTAATGAGCAGTGCTGGTGGAGGCAGCTCATTGGCTGTCCTGGCTGTAGACCACGCCCACCTGTCGTCTGGCTTCATCCATGATCTCCATCAGCAGAGCCGAGTCTGCGAGAGACATGCAGGAACTCTCCTTCAGACCTGCAAGACATGATCAGATTTTAATGAGCTGAAGGTCATTAAAGGGATATTCACCCAAAAATGAGAATTTACTCTTCCTCAAGTCATCTAGGCGTATGTATGACATTATTTGTATTAAAGTTGTATTAAAATGATGGTGACCTTGGAGCAGGCAGCGGCGGACCTCTTCTGCCTCGTAGCGCATGCCGGTGCTGTTGATGAAGTTCAGCGGGAGAGCGGGTTCAGGCAGCGGATACTGAGTCTCCACACCGTTCACCATCAGAGACGTCGGGCACCACATATGAGCTGGAATCTGACCCACAAAGATGAAAGTGCAACATGTGCCTGTAAAATTACCCATCATGCAGTGTGTAACATAGATCTAAGTGAGTTTTAAATCTGTATATTAAGTTATCGTCTCTTTAAAGTAGGAGTCGACTCGGAGTCAATGAAACGAATCGTTTTTCAAACGAGTCATGAGCCGTTTCGTTTTGACATCAAACCAAAACATTACAAACGGATCATCCCTTTAGTTCCAGGAAAAAAAAAAAGATAAATCAAAAGGTATTGCGTTTGATTCCCAATCCTGTATTCTTCACTTGAAACTGGGAGTTTTGAGAGTGGTTAATAAAACATTAACACACTGATGATGATAAACAAGCTCCAAGCATTTGGAAACCTATCTTTAAAGTTAATTTAAAATTAGAATAGACATTTTGTGTGCATAGAAAAAGTTCAGCTCATGAAAAAATGGGGGCAAAAAAACAAACAAAAAAAAAACAGCGTTGCGTTTATAATTTTGTTCAGTGTATATTTATATTTTCCCTAATGCTTTAAATGTTGTTTTTTTATGACCTATAGAGCACATTGAGATTCATTGTATGTATGAAGGGTGCTATACTACGGAGGCGTATTGCATTCACTTGAAGAAAAAAAATCTACTGTTTTTCTGAATTAACGAGTTAATTTTTCATGAGAAAAAAAAGTTTTTGCTCTGTTTTTCTGAATTAACTCGTTAATTCAGAAAAACACAGCAAAAAAAAAAAAAAAATTCCATGAAAAATTAACTCGTTAATTCAGAAAAACAGAGCAAAAACTTTTTTGGTCATGAAAAATTAACTCGTTAATTCAGAAAAACAGAGCAATTTTTTTTCTCATGAAAAATTAACTCGTTAATTCAGAAAAACAGAGTAGATTTTTTTTCTTCAAGTGAATCCAATACGCCTCCGTACTATACAAATGAATTAAAAGTATTATCATTAAAAAGTAATGTACACTGCAGGCCTGCATCAGACTCAATCAAAGTCACTTTGAATAAAAGCATCTGCCAAATGAAGGAATGTAAATGTGAATAATCTGAATCCCGATCACGAGATGTTTGGGTGTGTGTGATTTAGTTTCAATGGTACAACAATAATTTTTGCCAGAATATGACAGCAGTTACAGTAACACATGATCAGATATTTACACGACCTCGGGTGAGAGCGGGAACGAGAACAGACCTTGATGGTGCCTTTGGTCCCGACGATGACGGCTTCGTTTGGAAGATCAGTGGAGATTGTGCAGGTACAGACGGCCATCCTGTGTCCTGAGAACATCAGTGTGACGACCATCGCTTCATCTACACCTGTGGATATCAGTCACACACTTGTTTGAATTTATATCTTGTTTGTATTTATAATCAAAAAAGTTCATCATCATCATCATCATCAGTGTGTTTGGCCTGTGATATCTGGAGTTCAGTACCCGTGTCCAGGCAGAATCCGGTTGCTTGTACGCGCTCCGGCTTCTCTCCGTTGAACACCATGAGCACAAACTGCAGACAGTAGATGCCGATGTCGATCAGAGCTCCTCCTCCCAGATCCTTCTCCACGGCCCGAGACACGTGCATGAGGGACGCCCCGAAATCTGCCCGCACCAGCTTCACCTCGCCCAGCTCGTCCCGGGACAGCAGCCGCCGGATCTCAGCCGAGGCCGGGAAGAAGCGGGTCCACACCGCCTGCGGACCGCCGAAATCATGCGCTCATCCTCACAAATAATGATAATAAACTAGTACTATTTTTATTTACAAAAATGATAATTAATAATATAAATAGTAAATAATTAAAATAACAATTTGAATATTAATTTTAAAAACTAACTTAAATAAATAAATACGTGCCCAAATGCCTGGAGCTCGTCTTATTATTCATCAGTGTGAACCAGGTGTAATATTTCATTGGAATATTTGCAGGTGTATAAATCTAGAATAATATATAAATAAATATTATATACTTACACCCATAAAAGCAGACACTCATTAATAATAGCTATTAAACATTATTAATAATATTAATACCAATGCAAACACAATACAAGTACAATAATTAACACATAAAATACATATTTTAATTATTTATTAATATTATAAAAAAATATTAATAATGTGTGTCTGCTTGTATGGGTGTCAGTATATACTATTTATGTTTATATATAACATTTATATGTTAAATTTTATACATCTGCAAATATTCCAATGAAATATTACACCTGGTTCACACGGATGAATAATAAGACGAGCTCCAGGCATTTGGGCACATATTCATTTAATTCAGTGTTTTTAATTAATATTTAAAATGGTATTGATGCCAATTTATATTTTTTATAACTATAATTAATTAATATTTCTATATTACATATTTTAAAATAAAAATAGTAACATTAAATACATTTGTTTAATTAATAAAGTGCATTTTAATCTCTTTAGTCATTGTATTACTTTTTTAAAAATATATTTATTTGTAAACTTTTCCAAATCATTAATAAAGAGCATCATACAATTACAAAGTTAGTATTTTTCTGCAATAATGCTAAATAAAGCATAAAATATATAATAAATAAAAAATAGGTAAATACACTTTAGGGCATGGGTCACCAATCTCGGTCCTGGAGGGCCGGTGTCCTGCAGAGTTTAGCTCCAACCCCAATTAAACACACCTAAACCAGCTAATCGAGGTCTCACTAGGCATAATAGAAACTTTCAGGCAGGTGTGTTGGACCTGGTTGGAGCTAAACTCTGCAGGACATCGGCCCTCCAGGACCGAGATTGGTGACCACTGCTTTAGGATAACAAACGCATCCACATAATAATAATAATAATAATAATAAATAACTAAAAATACAATTCAAATCTCTGACATTATTTGTGGTCTGCACATATAATATTATGACAATGTAAAGTCAATTACAACAACACAAGTGATCATGCCTAAACCAACGAGTCTCCACAAACTGATCAATTAAAGACTGTATTCAATTTCCTAAAAATATTCTCATACATATTATTGTTTTTCCTCGTGAACAAAGCTCAACACCTGCACCTCTGCTCACCTCCATGAGGAAGACGTCGTTCTTCTTTGCGGAGGCGATCAGTTCCCGAACTTCCCTCAGGTTCATGGCCAGCGGTTTCTCACACAGGACGTTCTTCTTAGCGTTCATGAAGAGGACGCCCACCGACAGATGATGAGGGTGGATCGTGCCCACATACACCACATCTGGAACACATCAGCATCTATACGCTCACTACACATCTGGAACATCATCTATACACTTACTACACATCAGCATCTATACCACCACCATACTACTACTACTACTATAATACTGCTAATAATATTACTACTGTTACTGCCATAATACTACTACTAGCTACTACCACTGCCATACCACCACCACCACCTACTACTACTACTAAATTAATAATAATACCATCATACCTCTACTACCATACTACTACTTTTGTTCTTTTGGCTACAAAACCACTGAATTCTATTGTGATTTTTACTGATGTGTGTGTTTATCTTGTTACACAGCTTCCGATGTGAGGCCCAAAACAAATGTCCCTTATGGAGTATAAAATGTGAGTGTAAAATAGAAGCTAGATACAGTGGTGTAAATAAGTTTGCCTAAAAAGAGGAATAAAAAATCATCTTTTGGATATTGATCTTAATGCCTTAATTAGAAAAATGAGGAAAACTCCAACCTTTAAGGACACCAATTGTCTTTGTGAATGAATAATGTATCATAAATAAATAAATGTTTTTCCTTAAAATACAGGGTGCATAAGTCAGGACACCCCTATGTTAAATTCCCATAGAGTCAGGCAGATTTTTATTTTTAAAAGCCAGTTATTTCATGGATCCAGGATAATATGCATCCTGATAATTAAAATATCCCCACATCATCATCACACACCTTCACCACACCTAGAGATTGGCATGGGGTACTTTCCATAAGATCATCTTTCAATGCAAATCAAACCAGCTATTAGGCTAACTGAAGTAAAACCATGCCAATCTCTCGGTGTGGTGAAGGTGTGTGATGATGATGTGGGGATATTTTAATCCCAAAGGCCAAATTATCCAAATTATCCTGGATCCATGAAATAACTGGCTTTTAAAAATAAAAATCTGCCTGACTCTATGGGAATTTAACATAGGGGTGTCCTGACTTATGCACCCTGTATTTTAAGGAAAAACATTTATTTATTTATGACACATTATTCATTCACAAAGAAAATTGGTGTCCTTAAAGGTTGGAGTTTTCCTCATTTTTCTAATTAAGGCATTAAGATCAATATCCAAAAGATGATTTTTTATTCCTCTTTTTAGGCAACTTTAGCATGGGTGCCAACACTTATTCACACCACTGTATTTTTAATCTTGTGATGATTTTGACAATGTGAAACGAGAACAGTTTATTGGACACATTCTGATGGTAGTTTTACACAGATGCTGTTCTGAGATCAGTTTATCGTCTCACCGATCTCGGGATCTTTGGCCAGCTCTTCATAGCTGCCGTAAGCGCGAGGGATGCCGTGCTTCTGCGCAAACTCCTGCGCATGCGCCAGGTCACGCGCACCCACAGCCACCACCTGTGTTCAGCGATAAAGTGACATTTTATTATCATTCTTAAAATTAAAATATTTAAAAAAAAATTATTTTTTTTTTAAATTTACTTTATAATTTTTGTTAAATATTAATACGTAGCCTACATAGCACCGTTCTTCTTGTGCTTAACGCTATATCACATGCAACATGCATCCGTGTGCATAATTAAACACTATATTACATGCAACAATGTCAATGTATCTATTCTTGTGCATAATTAAACATTATATGTTTATGCAACAATGTCTCAGCTCACGGTGTCGCTGTTTCTCCGCTGCACAGTAAAGTCTCCATATTTCAGATACGCGGTTTGTTACACAAGGCAAATCATATTTTATCATATCATATAGTTTGTAGAATGCATCATTTAAAGTGTCTTATTGTTATAGATGAGACTCAATGCACGAGACTCAGTGTCAGTTTTTAACTCGGTTAACTCCTTCGTGCAGTGTGTATGCTGTGTGTGTTTATCCTGTAGTTTGACACTAAGCTGAAGTTTCTCAGGTGTGTGTTTGTCTGTACCTGGTGTTGTTCTGGCGAGAGAGTCTTCAGTGCCACTGTAAAGTCATGACTGATTCTTCCAGCGCTGCAGATTCCCCACCTGATCGACATGATGTGTGTGTGTGTGTGTGTGTGTGTTAGATCATAGGGGCTTTCGAAACACACGTGTGAAGCTTAGAAAGATTTGCTAAACGTTTCGAATCAGTGATTCGGAGCGCGTGTCACACTACCAAAGTCACGTGAGTTCAGTAACCGAGGCTTCATGACATCATAACTGTTTCGAAATATCTCTGTTTTGCCGCTAGGGGGCGAATATCATTTTAAGTTTTATAATGTGTCGACATTTTTTAATGACACATGTTTTAGAGTTTTAGTTAATGGTCTCTTATTAGCATGATTAACCAAGCTCACCATAAAACAAGCCCTACAATTTAATAAAATAACACCTCATACTTAATGGTATTAAATGATTAGTTAATTGTATTGAATAGACCACACTGGCAATAAAACATTTTATAATAAAAGGCCTGTTATGCATCTTGTGGTTGAGTTTTCTTAGCATTGACACTGTTTTGTCCAGCAGGGGTCACCAGCGTGTGGCGTTTCAGAGCTTCGAATCAGTGAATTATTTTGTGAAGGAATCGGTTCAATTGATTCCGAGTTTCGAAAAGCCTCGTTTCTCGCATCACTACTGTAAGAACCAGCAGATGACGACAAACCCTTTATATCAGAATTGAGCAGTGTTTACTGTATACTGCCTACTATATTTTTATTTTATGTGAACCAGTTTACAATAATAGGCTAAAACAATTTTTATTATACACAATGAGCAATGCTTAAAAAATCCATTTGAACCCATTCAGACCCAAATTATATTCAAAAGACACAAAAAATATGTCCATGTGTGAACAAACTAAAATTCACCTTCAGCATCACTCGTTGGATAGTGTAATGTTTATTGTGCACAATATTCTCCACCACTACACACACACATGACTGTTTATTACAGAAATGTTCAAACTCTTTTCCTGAGTAGCACCGTCCAATCAAGCCTCAGATCAATCAATGAATGGAGGGCAGTCATTGGCTGTCCTGCTCATAAACCACGCCCACCTGCCGCCGGGCCTCATCCATGATCCCAGTCAGAAGCTCGGAGTCTGTCAGGGACATTTTAGTGCTCTCCTTCAGTCCTGGAAGACGGATGAGAGGTTCAAACACTGCATTCACCCTTCTAGCTACTACTTTCCCTGAACCAATAGAAACTTCAATATGTTTTTAAGAAAATAAAGACAGAATTAATACAGGAACACACATTTTTCTTGAAGATATTATTTGTGTATCTCCTACAATCTTTTACTATAATAATTTATTAAAAAATTTAAATTGGAAAAAAAGGTGGCCCTTACAACAAAAATATGTGCTCACTATAAATAAAGTAAAGGAATTGGGGATTGTGTTCAAAACTAATAAATAAATGTGACCCTGATCGATATTTTATGATTAAATATAAAATTAACATTGGCACTAGATGGTCATTTTGCCAAGTTTTATCATTTATTTTTGTCATGTTTCTATAATGAACAATGATGGACAAATATTGACACAATTATTAAAGATCATATCCAGCAAGATATATCCATAACATTTAAAGACATCATTTTTTGGATACTTTGATTTTGACCCAACTAAAAACAAAGCTCGCTTTGTGAATGGCATTTATTTTTATATACATAAATGTAAATATGCAAGTATAAACTGAGTTTATACTCAGTTTATTCTTATTATTCTGAAATGAAAAGTCAAAATTGATAGACAGATTGATGGATGGATAGATAGACATTGATTGTTTGATTTTTTGATTAATTGTTTTTTGTTTGTTTGTTTGATTGTTTGATTGATCGTTTGTTTGTTTTGATTGTTTGTTTGATTGATCATTTGATTGATTGTTTGTTTGATTGTTTTGATTTTATTTTTTGTTTGTTTGATTGTTTGATTGATTGTTTAATTGATTGTTTGTTTGTTTTATTGCTTGTTTGATTGTTTGTTTGTTTATTTGATTTATTTATTTATTGTTTGATTGATTAATTGTTTGTGTGTTTGATTTAGTGATTGTTTGTTTGATTGTTTTAATTGTTTGTTTGTTTGATTGTTTTAATTGTTTGTTTGTTTGATTGATTGTTTGTTTGTTTGTTTATTTGATTTATTTATTGTTTGATTGTTTGATTGTTTGATTGATTGTTTGTTTGATTGATCGTTTGTTTGATTGTTTTGATTTAATTTTTGTTTGATTGTTTCATTGTTTGATTGATTGATCGTTTGATTTCTATCTTCTTCTATTTTTCTTTTTTAGCAAATCATTGCAAACATTTTTTCTTTTCCTGTATGTTCAGATGAGATTGAACATGTCATTGATATATTGTGTATATAATCTCTGTCCGGTTTGCAAGCATAACATTTTTTAATTGTATTTTTAATGAAAAAAGACAGATGAGAGTCGCTCAGGACGGATGCATGACACCCAGAACTCATGAGATCCTTCACATCGTGTGTTTGAGTGTGTGTGTGTGTGTGTGTGTGTGTTACCTTTCAGGAGGCAGCGTCTCACTTCTTCTGCCTCGTATCTCAGTCCGGTGCTGTTCTCGAAGTTCAGAGGCAGAGCGGGTTCGGGGAGAGGGAACTCCGTCTTCTTCCCGTTCACCTCCAGAGTGGTTGGGCAGTGCATGGGATTCGCCACCTAGCCGACGACAGACCCAATGAAAACAGCATTATTCTGCATTACAGTTGTAAGTCAAATATTCCCCATTGCATTATTATACTATATATTCAACATTATATAGTAGTTTAATGTACTGACACTTAACATTTATTCTCACATGGTTATTTTTATTTTGAGTGAACTACACCATGCATATTTTGCATTTTTTGTCACAATGCACAATGCATTTTTGTATTGTGATATGGTGCATATCTTGAATGCAATATTAGTCACTTTGAATTGTGCCTGTAAAATGATGTGAACGGAAGCACCACGGTATGTGTGTGTGTGTGTGTGTGTTCTCCGTCACTCACTCTGATGGTTCCTCTGGTTCCACAGATGGTGGCGACGTTCGGGAGCAAACAGGAGAGAGTGCAAGTACATGAAGCCATCCTGTTCCCGGAGAACTTCAACACCACCACCATCGACTCGTCCGCTCCTGACACACACAGATCAACATCATGATCAGATCGTCTGAAACATCTCACATGACCAGAATATTGGCTGTAAATCATGTGCTGGTGTTATATTTTAGACATAGACAGAAGTACTAGGACCAAAACATACAAGAAATGACTAAAACGAACTGAAATTAAAGGCAGGGCAGGTAAGTTTGAGAACTGTATATGCAGGTTCAGGTGCTACTGGGGATTTGGGCGGCTCCTGTAGCAGCAGGGGTGGTTGCCATGGCAGCGAGGGAGAGTGACAGTCGCCCAGCCAATCGGTGCATTCGTTCCGACTGGAAAGAGTAAAAGCCCTGAGAGGACTACAGACACTCGATTTTATACTCTCCTTTTCAGAGTTCTTACATTTTAGATATGTATTGGTATATAAAAACAGTTTAAACAAATGTGGGGAAAAGTGTCAGAAAAAGGAAATCCAAGGCACTCTTCTTTAGAAAATTAAAAAGCCTTTATTGGACTGGCTATATCATGATAGAAAAGTTAAAAACATGTGTAAAAACACAAAAAAACAATTCCCTCTTTTGCAGATGCTAATTGGATTGGGAACACCTGAATGACAATTAGCCTGCATATACTGAGAGGGTCCACTAGGAGGTGTTAAAAAAAAAAAAAATTCGAAACATTGTTTTCAAAACAAGCTGCTGACCCTGCCTTTAAAGTGAAAACAGAAAATGGAAAAATAAAATAAATATTAACTAATATTAACACAAACTATATTAGTATCTCAGTTATACTAGGATAGGAGTAAACTAAAACTATGCAGACATATATTTTTTTGTTTAAGTGTAATGGTCAGTACCGGAGGGCAGCAGGACCCCTGTGGCGTGGATGGACTGGGGTTTTTCCCCCTTGAACACCATCAGAGCGAACTGTAGACAGTAGACGCCGATGTCCAGCAGAGCTCCTCCCCCCTGATCCCTCTGTGTGGAGCGGGCCCGGTCCAGAAGAGGCAAGCCGAAATACACCTGCACCATCTTCACCTCACCGATAGTGTTCTCGGACAGGAGCCGGCCCACCTCAGCGTACACGGGGAAACACCGGGACCACACGGCCTGGCAGAGAGAGAGAAATTAAAAAATGTCAAAAAACATATATATATATATATATATATATATATTATTATTAATTTTTTTGGGCTATTTTATTTTTATGTATGACGATTGTTTAAATATCACAATACAAAACAAATATTACCTGTCCTAAAAATAGGCATACGTTTATTTCACAGTGTTTTTATTACAGGTATAGTTACTGTATAATAAATATGGTAATATTTTAGGACAGGTAAGATTTGTTTTTTATTGTGACATTATTTGCGTGATGCTTCAAGTTCTCATTATTGTAATTTAATTAGTCCAAAAATGGACATTTTATTTAAATTGAAACGCATTTCTAAATCAGAGTAGCACATGTTTTTAATTGATTGATTGGTTCTGATGAACTACTGAATGGTTTTGCAGGTGTCTGCATGAGTTTGTGTTGTTATATGTGTGTTTGGTGTGTGTTCACCTCCATGAGGAAGACGTTGTTCTCCTTGGCGGCCGAGACGAGCTGCTTGACCTCTCTCAGGTTCATGGCGAAGGGTTTCTCACACAGAACATTCTTCCCTGCGTTCAGGAACAGCAGACCGACCTGAAGATGATGAGTGTGAACAATCCCGATATACACCACATCTGACGGAGGAGAGGACAGTCACTAACTGCAGCAATCAATCAATCAATCAAACAAACAAACAATCAAATGATCAATCAATCACACAATTATTCAAACAAACAAACAAACAAACAAAACAAACAATCATTCAATCAAACAAACAATCAAATCAACACTCTTAGAAGAAAAGGTTCTCTATATAACCCTAGAAGGTTCTATACACTCTTAAAAAAAGGGTTCCTCTGGGTTCTATATAGAACCGTGGGTTCCAAACTTGGCCAAAAGAACCCTTTACAAAAAAAATGGTTCTATATAGAACCATTTTGGAGTTCCATATATGAAGCGGGGGATGGAACCATTTCTGGTTCTAAATAGAACCATTTCTTCTAAGAGTGAAACAAACAATCAATCAAACAATAAATCAAACAAACAATCAATCTAACAATAAATAAATCAATCAAACAAACAATCAAAGAAAACAAACAATCAAACAAACAATAAATCAAACAAACAAACAAACAATAAATAAATCAAACAGTCAAATAAACAAACAATCAATCAAATGATCAATCAATCACACAATTATTCAAACAAACAAACAAACAAACAAAACAACACTCTTAGAAGAAAAGGTTCTATATAAAACCTTAAAAGGTTCTATCAGTGCTGCGAATTTGGAACCCCTAAAAGGTTCTATACACTCTGGGTTCTATATAGAACCCTGGAGTTCCATACTCGGCCAATAGAAGCTTTTACCAAAAAAATGGTTCTATATAGAACCATTTTGGAGTTCCATATATGAAGTGGGGGATGGAACCATTTCTGGTTCTAAATAGAACCATTTCTTCTAAGAGTGAAACAAACAATCAATCAAACAAACAATCAATCAAACAAACAATAAATAAATCAAACAATCAAAGAGACAAACAATCCAATGATCAATCAATCAAATAAACAAACAATCAAAACAAAGAAACAAACAATCTATCAAAAAACAAACAATCAAACAAACAATGTCTATCTATCCATCCATCGATCTGTCTATCAATTTTGACTTTTCATTTCAGAATAATAAGAATAAACTGAGTATAAACTCTGAGGGGAAAGAAGGTTCCCACAGTACTCCATTTCCTCACCGATATCTGGGTTCTTGATCAGCTCCTCGTAGCTGCCGTATGCATCGGGAATCCCGTGAGTCTTCGCAAATGTCTTTGCACTATCTAGGTTTCTTGCTGCAACTGCGACTATCTACAAAACACACAGAAAGACAGATAAGTCAACGAATACAGGCTATCACATATGAAAGCAGGCGTTGAGTTAGCACCTGGTGATCTTGATGAGGAAGAGTCTTCAGAGCCACACAGAAGTCATGACTGATGTTCCCCGCTCCACAGATTCCCCAGCGTGTCGCCATGTTCCTCCTGTTCCTCCTGCGTGTGCTGCGAACGCTTTTATCTGCGGCCCAGAGTTCAGGAGGTCATGCGCTCTGATAAAGAGTAGCTCTCTGATTGGAAACTGCCGTAAACATCTCTTTGTCGGCTCACTTTTACTGTTTGATGTTAAATATTAAACATGTGGGGTGAGATGTCAATGTGTTTGAGGCTCAATATGAAGAGCTCATAGTGACTCAACAGATCAGATCCTCATTAAACTTGTCAACTAATGATGATCAAGCATTGTGTCAAAATGCTTGATCATCGTTACTGTTGGATAATGTCTTTCAAACAAGGTGAAAATGCTTTGATACCTTCATGCAATTGATTATATATTATCAATTTCTGTCTTGTTGATCAAAATATTATACTGGTTCTATTTCACATATAATACGTTCTATATTACATACAAGTGAAACTCCAAAAAAAAATTGAATATCGTACAAAAGTTCATTTATTTCAGTAATTCAACTTAAAAGCTGAAACTAATAGACTCATTACATGCAAAGTGAGATATTTCAAGCCTTTATTTATTGTAATTGTGATGATTATGGCTTATAAAAACCCAAAATTGTGAAAAGGTTTTCATAAGCTGTAATCCATAATCATCACAATTATAACAAATAAAGGCGTGAAATATCTCACTTTGCATGTAATGAGTCTATATAATTGAAATCAGAAAACACTGATTTGTTCATTGATATACTTGCGTTTGAGAGATGAACTAAAGATTGGCTTTTGCATGTAATCTATTGTGTTCTGCTCTTTATGAATTGTTTTGAGAAATGCTCTTTACAAATTTTAAGGATGATTCGGAAATGTTCCAAAGCGACACTGAAAAATGAGTTTATAAAAGTTTGAATATTCAGTGTAGGCTAGTCTACCTTATACTATATTAATGTTACAAAAATAATAATTTAGTAACAATTTAATCCTGATTTCATTTAGTAACAATCATTAAGCCTGTAAAAAATGATTCAACTAAGAAACTGTGGGGTCATTAAGGCTGTCATGTGTCCGTCAGTCACAAGGTGGCGCTGTGACGCCGTTATAAACTCATCTCGTGTATACACTTACTGTAAACATCTGTTCAGTTCAAACACAAACAAAACATAGAGAAAATTAGCATGTTTTTAACATATAACATACATTTACATAATATAAATGATAATTATATATTGTTAGAATATAGCCTCTAATGTGATGTGTGTGTCTGTGTATGATAACGCTGTCAGGTGTGTTTGGGGTAAAATTTTCAATGATGTCACTCATCCGAAGATGCCATCGTCATGACAACAAGGTACCAGCTGGGCAATCTGTATGCAAATGGGGTAATCACGCGCCAGTACAGCAGGACCTGGTCGCCATGGCAACCAAACCCTCTTTTTTTACGCTTCACGCCGGAACTCACCTTCTCCCGGTTCTTTGGTGAGAGTGACGCGTTAGATGTGTTCATACAGTGGTTTCTATGGGGACGTCAGTCACACACTGTGGTATTTATAAGGTACTAAAGATACTTCAGCCTAACCTGCTATTACTGTCAGGACAGTGTCTAAACACCGTGATATCACCATATAGGACCAGAGACGGAAACAATAATTAAAAATGTACATCAGTTCGAGTTACGAACTTTGTAACTCGAACTGCTGTACATTTTTAATTCTTGTTAAGTTATAATAGCATTTAAATTTAAATACATTTTATAAAAAACATTTTTGCTCTGTTTTTCTGAATTAACGAGTTAATTTTTCTGTTTTTCTGAATGAATGAGTTAATTCAGAAAAACAGAGCAAAAACTTTGTCATGAAAAATTAACTCGTTAATTCAGAAAAACAGCAAAAAAAATTTTTTTCTCATGAAAAATTAACTCGTTAATTCAGAAAAACAGAGCAAAAACTTTTTTCCATGAAAAATTATCTCGTAATTCTGAGATAATTAACTTGTTAATTCAGAAAAACAGAGTAGATTTTTTTTTCTTCAAGTGAATGCAATACGCTTCCGTATGTGTGTGTGTGACGGAGAGAGAGAAAGTGTGTGTGAGAGAGAGAGACAAAGGGTGTCTGTGTGTGTGTGTGTTGTTCACTCAGAAGGTGAGAGAGTATTTTCTGGTGGCGCTGAATTTCACACGACACCTTCACCAGAGGCTCAAGGTCACCGTGAAGACAGGTTTGACAGGGAAGTGTGTGTGTGTGTGTGTGTGTATAATAAATGAGGGACAGAGTGAAACTGGGTCACTGCAACACAATGTTTTCCTGATATTTGGATGCTGTAGTTTCAGAGGAAAATGCAACAATATAAAATATAGCAGCAGAAGATGCAGCGTTTATCAGGAGATACAGTAGATGAGCCGTACAAGTGTGTTTTCATACATTTGCCAGATGCTTTTATCCAAATCGACGTGCATTCAAATTTCAAAGTAAAAGATTAGTTCATACACCCCCCCCCCACACACACACACACACTTCCCAAGGGAATTGAACCCATGACCTCGTCTAGTCATCAAACGCTACTGTTTAAACTACAGCACAGATTATGAATTAATATCTTGTAAATGAAAGCTATTGGCGGTGCATTAACGGATCAAACATGAATCAGAAGAGTCGACCTCCAGCGTGACTGGATTTATCAGCTTCTCATGAACGCGGATGAAGATTATTTAGGTGTCGTATCAAAATGAGCTTCCGTTTAAAGTTTAAACGAGCGCCGAATGGAAACGGAGGCCATTACAGAAACGATGAATGAAAGGAAGAAAAATGCTGAGAATGATTTAATCATCAGAAACTCAAAATTATATGTTATTTGAACTAAATAAATTATTTAAGTTGATTTGACAAAAGAAAATATGTTGTGATTACTACACAGTAAAAAATATTGTTGGTTTAACTTAAAAAAGTGAGTTAATACAGTGAGGGAGAATCATCAGAAACTCAAAATTATATGTTATCTGAACTAAATAAATTATTTAAGTTGATTTGACAAAAGAAAATATGTTGTGATAACAAATCTTGAAAATATTTTTTTTTTTACAGTGCACATTGACTTGGAAGGAAAGTTTGCTCTATCTTTACGCCTTGACATGATCTACAAAAAAAAAGTGCAAATTTGTGTAAATCAAGAGTGTTTGTGTTTCATGAAGCAGCTCTGACCTCAGGCAGCATAGAGCCATCTGTGAAAAAAAGCAACACTAACGTGTATAAAAATACAATTTGAGTTGGAATATTACTTTATTAATCTGTCGTATCCATTAAATCCTAATGATTTTTTTTTTTTTTTCAGTGTAAATCTACTGTTGTTTTACCTGGACAGATGAACATTAATGTGGATTCAAACACCAGCAGTCAGAGGACGAGAGACCTTCAGAGAGAGAGAGAGAGAGAGAGATGGAGGACAAAAACTCTTCATGTTTGTCTTTGTTTCAATCTAATGGCACACACACAATTATTATTTATTAATGATTTATTTTCTTATATTTATTTATAAATTAGTATTTTATTCATTTATTTATTTTAATATTTTTTGTTATTTTAATTTATTTCAGTTTTTATTGATAGAGTGTTATTCATGTTTGTTTGTTTTTTGTCATTTTTTGGGACAATTTTTGAAGATTTTTTTTGCTCAGAGAACATCTTCTTGACTTCTTGATCCACCGACAAATATTTTTTTGTTTTGTTTTAGGCATCTCTGAAAGCAAGCAGTTTTGCGTGTACATGTGGCCTATATTACATCGAGAAGAGGAGAAATCCTTTCAGATCTGCAGTATTTTAATGATAGATTGAACATTCTCTCTCTCTCTCTGGATACGAGCATAAATCATTGCTAATGAGACCAGGGACATTAATAAGAAAATAAATCATACCGTATTTGATTTTGTTGTTAATGGTGAATTTAGGAGTCAGAAAACTCATTTTCCGGGGTCAGTATCCCTAAATCCCCTCCTAAACTAGCAGTGTTCCCTGACAGAGCTCGAGCGCCCGCTCCTCCTCTGGGATAATCCCATCCGGGTCACTCGGGGTCAAACACTAAAGTAATTAATCCTTTTTGCTCAGTCCGCCGCTCCTCTTCACCTTTCTGTTCCCGTCAGATTCCTCTTTTATTTCTCCATCTCCACATGCAGGAGAGACTCTTGGTCATGGTGTGTGTGTGTGTGTGTGTGTGTGTGAGAGAGAAATAAATCTGCACTTTTATGTGAATTAAAATATTTTAAAGTGGCATTTCAAGGTCTGCAGGATTAAGTCGGACAATAACTATCATAGACCATAACTGGAAAATAATCTCAGATGTTTTCAGGATATTAAGTGGTCATTTGTTGGTCACTCCCGCTGAAATTTTTCTAAACAAAATAAAATCAGTTTCCCTTTGGCCGTCTTTCTGGAGGAATATTAATGCTTTGATTGTCTAAAATGTGTTCTGTTATTTCTCCTTATCTTACAGACTAAGGATGCAAATTATCGATTAATTAATTAATCATTAGTTGATCAACCTTATCGATCGATTAACGATTAACTGATAAGCGCCTATTTTCCTGAGAATGTACATTTCTCACGGCTTCAATGTAACATAAAAAGCTAAATATTGCTCATATACTGAATAAAAATGCCTGTTATATTGCTCAATTAATGTTTTATTGTAACAGTTGGGATACGTCACGGATAATGGCATTTATGTAGTTTAACAAAATAAATTATGCACAGAAAATTAAAATACATAAAAAATATGTACAACATGATGTACAACTTGTAACGAGTGGAAATAAGGTGTGGCCCCTTTAAGAGCTGTCATGGTATGAATTAGTAGTTTCCCGGGGAAAATACAGGGAGGGGTCCGGGAGATAGGGTTAAAAAACGGGAGAAACCCGGGAAAAACGGGAGTGTCGACAGATATGAGCTAAGTTATTGTTAGAATAAATACAGTTTTCGAGGTTAGCAGTTTTGTTTTTTGCCGCCTCAAAGTTTGCCTCGGCTCTCTCGCGTGAGCATCTCATGTCACGTTCAGTCACGTGATTA